GTTTCCGAATTACTTACTGGACGTTTTAGGGTCTTACTTTGAGTGTTGTTTTCATTTTTTAAAAGTCATATTTTCATATTTGAATATATTTAAATGCAAAAAGGTACAATAAACTTCATTCTTTAAAATAAATGAAAGATTCACACAAATAGAGAATAATTGTGTCATCATTTACATACTTTTGTGTCATTTAAAGCTGTATTGATTTTTTTGTATTGTAGATTAGTTGTTGTAAATGTTTACTTGCTTACTTTTTTCACATTCAATACAATAATGAATTCTTTTTTAGATTTCAATAATGAAATCTTCTTTTGGTGGTAATTCCTGAGTCAATTTTCTAACATTAAACATGGAGTTTTGTCAGTAATTTGCATTAATTAAATTCATGATAACCAATAAAGACTTTAATAAAGTGGTCACTAACTTTATTTTTCTCAGGGCTGTAGGTATTACATGTTTGATGAAATAATTCATTAATTTCACTCTTGCAAGTTAGTGAAAGAAAACTCATCTATTTCAAGACATTGAAAAGCTTTTTCCAAAAATGTTTAATTTTCTTTAAATTAAGGTAATTAATAAATATTTTATTATTAAATATTTTGTCAATACATTTTTTTGTCTTTTTGTCTTAATTTCTGCAAGATTTATTATTTTTGTGTGTGTGTGTGTGTGTGTGTGTATGTGTGTGTATGTATGCATATTTATATATATATATATATATATATATATATATATATATATATATATATGTATATATATTAGGGGTGTATACACTCAGCTCAAGATACGATGTGTATCACGATATGATATTCACGATTCGATATGTATCACGATATTTGGAATAAAAATTGAAAATTAAACTGAAATGCAAATTTTACCAAGTAAACTACTTTTTATGTATTTCTTTTGTTTCAACTTGTTAAACTGAACCTTCTTTAAGAAAATAAATTAAACAGGCCTGTCTCTGGAAAATAAAACTATTTAAAAACTTCTTAAAAATATTATTGAAATGACAGAGACAAAATTAAGGAACAATTTAAGTAAAGGTGCAAAAAAAATAAGCTTTCTATTCAATTGAATTTAACAGTAAGAGCTTAAGGCTTTGCTTGGTCACTTGCGTTTTTTTGTTTGTGCAAAAAAAAATCCACATTTCCAGGTATTTAATTCATATTTATTTAAATTCATTTAGAGATATCTCTAATTACAATTGTGACTAGTCAAAACTCATTTAGAGATTTCTGCAAATATTTTTCAATGAAAGTCAATGGAGGAATATGACTAGTCATGATATATTTGCAGATATCTCCAATCTGATTTCGTACTAGTACAATTGTAATTGCAGATATCTCTAATTGTCATTCTGACTAGTCGAATTATAATTATGACAAGTCAAAATATAATTAGAGATATCTCTAAATATATTTATAAATAGTCAAAACAAAGGTTTAAATGCTAAAACGCCTTGCCATACGCCCTCTGTAGTAACAGCTCACGTCATGTGTGATTTTGCGGCGGGAACATTATATGAAGACAGAATGATATTTTAGGGTAATTTGTACCTTATAAATACAGTATGTGACTCTTTCAACACCATTAGGAGCGAGTCCAGGCAAGCTGTAAGCGGACGAGTCTAAAGCAATGACTGTATAACCGAAATGTTGCCAGGTGTCTGATTTTGAGAGGATGGGTCATCTTCTATTTCAGCCCCACTCATCTTGGTCTGCTAACATTACTGCTGCTGCAATCTGAACTCACGTGCGACAGCAGGTGGAACGTAGCTCACGTGCAAACAGCTCAACTAATAAGAGAAAACGGACGTCGTATCGTAATCAAATCGTCATAACGCCACGATGCATATTGTGACATTTTTGCATCGCAATAAATCGTACAACGATAAATCGTTACACCCCTAATATATATATATATATATATATATATATATATATATATATATATATATATAAGTCTTATACTAGAGAGCCAGGAGAATGGATGGAGGGCCTGGAATTCACCAGTAGAGGTGGGTTGTAGGGGGTTTGCGGGGCAGTCACTCTGGAGAGCCCTCGGGCTGCTGGGAATTGAAGGAATGGCCAGGAAACGGCTTATAGGAAAGGTCACTGAAGAGGCGAAAGCAACATCTCGCTGGATTTGGCTGCAAAGGGAGGTTCGGTGGAAAAGCCAAACTGTTGAAAAACAAAACATATCATAGAGTTGGGTGGTGGTCAGCAGGAGTAGGTCCAGGACACTGGATCTGCTGTCGAGCCCTCCCGAGGTGTCATGGGCTTAAATCGTTGAAACACAGAGGAAGGGGGGTGCCCATCTGATGACCGACTGACCACCAACCTATATAGAGTATATCCCTAACTCCCTAGCTGGTGCTGAAGGAAGAAAGGAGGGGGGAAGTATGCCACTGGCCCACAGTTGGTGCAGGGCAGAATACCTGTAAAGGTGGGCCAGTTGCGATGGTCCCATCGTATATTGCATATATATATATATATATATATATATATATATATATATATATATATATATATATATATATATATATATATTTTTTTTTTTTTTTTTTTTTTTTTTTTTTTCAGTGGTTCAGGTGACATCTGCCTGGAACATCAGGCCAATCTTCTGCTATCCTGAATCAGGTGGTTTGTCTTGGTCAGGCATCTCAGCTGAGACCTGTCCACTATGGGTGACCCTACCGGTAGCTTTGAAGTACCTGTGGCATAGCTCTCAGCTTCACCGATGCACACAAGCCCCCACAGCACGTCAAGCTGCAAACCATGTGAGGGACCCTAACCTACCCTAACTCAACAGCACACACTAAAAACCCTAACAACAACCCTAAAAACCACTCAGAGGAGACCAGCAACACGCAAGAAACCGCCTTGAAAACCTTCAACGCATGTCAACAACCTAAGAACCGAATATCAACAGCATGGACAATCACCAAAACAGCCAGCAATGTGATGAAACCTTGATTGAAATGTCAAATGTATTGCAAACTTATTATTGAACTATATACAATATGTACATACGTGCCCATGATCTTTCATCTGGCACTAGGATGACTCAGTGCCTGGGCTTCTTCCTTGGGGGCTCCTTGGGCAGTGGCTCCTCACTGATGTCCACCGTGATTTGAGGAGCAACGCTGGACTTGGATCTGACCTCTGTGATGAACACTCGTCCATCAGGCTGCACGGTTTCCAGGAGTGCAGGCCGGCCCAGCTTCTCCCACAGCCGCTGCTTGATCTCGAGACCTTGTTGTAGGTTGTACCGGCCACGACGTCTCTTCTGGATGGTGGAGCCCATCACACTGTTGTAGATTTGCTGATATTCCTCAACACTCCGGCCGTGGATGGAGACCGGCTCCACCTGCGGACACTCACCCACCGAGGAGACTAAGGCTGGGGCACGGAGCACAGGAAGCACAGCCGCGTTCGTCAGGTGTTTCTCCTCCAGTGAAGTGTCCGATGTGCAGGTGTCCTCATCAGAAGAGACACGCTCCAGCGAGAAGTTCTTCAGGTGAGCGGGCAGCTTCCTGATTCTTCTTGAGCGCCGCAGAGCCATCATGAACAGTTTCAACTTCCCAAACTGATAAAAGTTAGCAAACAGGAGATTTGTTCAGAGGTTTAAAGCTCGATGATCAGGATTGATGACTTTATAGACTGTTGTGTGTATTTTTAAACGATGCAAGTTGCCGTGGTGACAGAATGACAAGGGTCATTTAAATGTAAACAATAATTGATATCCGAATTAAGTTAATTAGAGCTGCAGTGCAGTTTTCGTATTATTTTTTTATTTAAATTGGTATTAAATACAGAAAATAACTTAAGAATTATTAATAATAGAGGGCCTATATACCTAAATAAATAAATAAATAAATAAATAAATAATGGCCTCGTTTGTATTGTGATATTTTTATTTTTGAACTTCGTCATACGTTTTATACATTTAAACATAACAACTTTATTGAACAGATATACCCATAAAATAAAAGTTTGGTCATTAAACATCTTTAGGAATGATAATATATTAACGATTTAAATGCGTTTTTACAAAAAAAATTAATAAATAAAAAATCACACACTACAAAAAAATCGACAAAAATTAATTTATTTCTGTTACTCTCGATTTTTCCTGTTTATTAAAATTGTATTAAATTGTTTCCTCCAACATATTAATTTGTGTTTACGTAAAGTCACGATGGCATACAGCCGTGGTTACTCACGTCAATATATAAATATTTTTATGAGACTGTACAACAATAATTAATATTTTACAGTACTGTAAAGGTTGGATTTAGGGTTGGGTTAGGGATACAGGTTAATAAAATACAATTTAATTGGCAATTTAATAAATAATATAAATAACACTCGGTAAAATCGTTGTTTTAGATAACTGTGATTGTGGGTTTGGGGTTAGGGTTCGGGTAGACGTTGATAAAATACAATTTATGGATAATTTAATAAATAATAAAACTCGTAATTACACCACGTTTGACGCGTAACATTTATTATTAATGATAGCAATAAATATTGTAATAATACGTGCAATAATATGTAATATTATTGTTTGGGATAGTTACTTCTGTATTTAAATGCTTGCCTGGACATTTATTTTCTAAACTCGTGGTACTCAAATCTATTTCTGAAAACATGTTTTATGTTTTGCAGAAAATAAAATTTATAAAAAGAAATCTTGTTCAGATTACCGTATGATTAAACCTCAAATGACTACATTGCCCACAATGCCGCATTCCTCAACTTGAATCCACCAATCAAATGAGAACACCGCTCATCTTGTTGACGTACGACGTGGTGCAAGAGCGCTCTACGGAAGTAAGTAAAGTAGAACTGTTTTACAATGAATATTTTCATTTCCTTAACTAATATACAAACTCTTATTTAATGTATGTTTCTTTTATTAAAACGTAACACTTTTTATCGCATTGCAGTATTGTTTTGTGTTAAATCGGCATCTCATTTCGTTCAGTTGTCGGTGTGCGGAAGCCATTTCAGATTGAATTAACTAGGCAGATGCCAACTAGACATCTTAAAGACGGCGTTAACGTCTATCAAACTGCTGGAAAAAAATGCAAATTTTTTAAGCTCTTTCGGTAAACTTTGATATATGAGATGTGTGTTAATAAAGGGATTATATTATATTGTGTTGATTTGAACACTGTTTTCTGCATTCATTGTGTTCCAAGGTCACGCGCCTCTAGTGGGACACAGTGTTTGTTCCTGCATTTGGGCATCATGACCTGCGTGCATCTATTGTTGACTTTGGTCTTTGCTGTGAGTTTGGGGACACCTGTAGAAGTTCATCGACCACGAGGAGTACCACTGTCAAGTACAGTCACATGTTGCTTATTAATCTTGAACTGATTTGCATGCAATTTTGGTTGAACTTGTTTGACGTTTTCTTTCTTTTTGCTTAAATGCATAAAGAGAAGCCGTTTTATGAGGAGAACAAGCCTTTCACCTGCCTCGATGGATCCAAGACTATTCTTTTTGACCAAGTGAATGATGACTACTGCGACTGCAAAGACGGTTCAGACGAGCCAGGTACTTACAGAATTATTCTTTCTTTAGTGTTCATATTAAATTGAATGTAATTTAAAGGGAAAGTTCATTTAAAAATGAAATCCCTGACGTTTACCCTTAACCAGTATTTGTTCCAAACCAGTTTAATATCTGTCTAACAGAAAATTAGATATTTGTAAGAATGTTAAAAATCTGTTTTCAGACATCCATAGTAGGAGAAACCAATACAATGGAAGTCAGTGTTTACAGGTTTGACTGAAATAAAAAAAAGTGTTTGTGGTCAAGTAAATGACGATGATGAAGATAAAAAAAAAAAAAAAAATTGGCCAAACTTTGCCATTAAAGCTGCACTTTTCAGCCCATAGACTTCCATTCATATGCATGCAACAGACTTGAAGCACAAGCCTATGCGACAAGTCTTTTTAGTTCGCTGTGTTGCAAAGTTTAAGCTTGGTGTACTCTGACCTGTGCAATCGCATCATGTGACTATGTGAGACCAATCAAAATCAAAACATGACCTGTCTCGACTGAAATGTAAAATATAAACCAATTGCTCACTTTTTAATATGTCTAATCATTTTGTTTAATCATGCCCCTTTTTGCTGTGCTGTACTACATAATATTGCTGGCTCAAACTTTAGTGTGACTGTGGCATTAAGCTGGGATCACCAAGCTCAGTCTTAAGCAGGTCGCACACCAGAAGCGCCGCAACACGGCGCGCACATGACAGTTTAAAGTATCACACACCAGAAGCGCACATTCGAATGATATTTAACATGAAACTAATCAGATGGCGCTTTGTGGCGTGGCTGAAAAATGAACTGCGTCCTGAGCCGTCGCTGGGCGCCGCCGACTTGTGTATCTTGTGTATCCTGATAGAAACCTATGTTTAGAATTCTAAAATGCATGGCGCTGCGTGGTGCGGCGCGCCGTGCGGCGCTTCTGGTGTGCGACCTGCTTTAGAGGGCTGGTGTCCTGCAGAGTTTCACTCCTTCCCTTATCAAATACACCTGATTAAGCTAATCAAGGTCTTAAAAACTATAATTGAAACTTCCAGGCAGGTGTGTTTAGGCAAGTTGGAGCTAGTCAAGATTGGTGACCCCTACATTAAAGCTTTTCACCCTTATGTCTGCTTTCAAAATTATAGCTTTGTCTCCAGTTTTTACATTTAAGAGATGACCCAAAAACAATTTCTCTTTGTTTACTCGCCCTTCTGTAAATAACACAAGACTTTTGTTCATTTTCAAAACACAAATTAAACTTCATTTAAGTGTTGGAATTTGAGTCTTGTTGACCAATCCCAATTCTATTTTTGTACCCCTTCCCCTTGGCCCTTAAAAACGAGTGTGAAGGGGAAGGGCTTCAAAATTTACCCCTAAGAATTGGGACAGCACTACAGCACCTGCACACATTAACATATGTCATCGTGATGTCTTGCTTCAAATGAGATCAGAAGATCGCGACTGCTGTAGTTATTCCAGTTGTGTTATTTTTCAGTATTTATCTTCTGGAAATTACTGAAGGCATATATTATGTTATCATAATGATCTAATGTGGCAACAAGATCGTAAATGTACTGTCTATTTACACAGTGGCCGCATTCATCTATGTAAACACATCAAAAACAACATTAACATTATACCAGACACTGTAAAAAGCTCATTCCCAGCCACTAGACTTTTCTGACAGAGCATTCAAGTGAAATCGAGTGCCAGAATGTTGTGGGACTGCTATACACGAGTTATTATTATGGATTGTAAAAGCATGAGGGTAAAACACGAACGCGGTAATGAATTTATTAAAACGTGTTTGTTGTAAAAATTTGTCATAATGACAAAAAATACTAATTTGTGGATATTGCGGGTCCTGCGATCCTGCCGTTGTGTCTGGTGCATTCTGGGAAATTTTCTTACCCCCTGGTTTCAAGTGTGGTCCTGAAAAATCTTCATTCTAAGGTCTATCTTCCCCTTCCCCCTAGCCCTACGCCTTCAAGCAAAAAAAGAATTGGGACACCCTTTTACGGGAACTTGCAAAACAAGTGATAGGGGTAAGGGGAAGGGCTAAGGGGTAGAATTAGGGATTGGGCCTTACAAAGTGTAGGAGCCGATGTCAATTTTGAGTGCTAATTTACCAGAGCATTCAACAAGTCCAGATTTATATACAACTGGACTCAAGTTTGACTTAAAGGTACATTGTTAGAAGGTTTATACAAGCAAATGTCTTACATGTATGTTGGGACCATTGTTTTCGTTTACATCCCTCAAAATGGTCAATATAAAGTAATTGTGTACACAACAGTCTCTGGACTTGCTGTATCTCAGACACCAATATTTTAACAATTTATAAAAAAAAGTAATCACTTTCTGTCCATCGGATATTAGGCATACATATATATTCCAATCCTGATTTTCTAAAATATTACATCGCTTTGTAAACGTTTATTATTACCTTTTGTTGAGCCTCGCCATACAGGTAGATAGAGCACTTGAACCTGGAAGCTGCTTTGCGTGACATAACACAAGCAGATTGCCAAAAATGTAACTGTGCAACATAAGACGTGTGGTCCTGGGTCACAAATGTGGTCATTTTATTGACGTGTTTTTGAAATCAGTATAATCTAAGTTAGTTATTGTGGTACTTTTTGTTACTTGGCTACTTATTGGGTTTTTTATTTGTTTGTTTTTTTTATCTTAAAAAATAAATAATTATTACAAATCATTTTCAGTTTCTAGAATCTTCGGCCCAGAATTTTGATTTGATGCAAAATGTAGTTTTATGATGTGATAGAGATAATCAGGGTTTGTCTATCCACAGGCACTGCTGCTTGTCCCAATGGCAAATTCCATTGCACCAATGCTGGTTACAAACCCACCTTTATCCCATCCTCTCGTATTAATGATGGCATCTGTGGTAAGATGAGACTACATCTGGATGTTTCTCCTCAACAATGTTCAGTGTGATTTGTATATGAAATGATTTTCTTTTCACAGATTGCTGTGATACTACTGATGAATACAACAGTGGAGCCAAATGTGAAAATACCTGCAAGTAAGTTTAACTGTATAAAGAGAGAAGCACATTAGGAACCATTTACACAGGATGCTATTATGTCCTCCTAGACATGCATATACACCAAATGGTTGTCTTTAACCATCGTACTGTCTCTTAAGGTCTTTGCACACTGAAGACCAAAATTTTCGTTTGCGTTTTTTTTTTTAGTAGTCTAATTCGAAAAATTGTCATATGCTAAAAAACCTGGAAAAAAGGATGAGCATTAATTAATTCATCACGAAAAAATGCAAAACATTTCGTAGTCCGTTCTCTCTTCTCCAATGTAGAAAAAGAAAGAGGAATAGGCTACATATTGTAATTATCCAATACTAGCCTACATAGAGAGGAAGGAGAGTTCAGGGGTCTGTTCTTCGTTGCTCACTTAAATGATCTAAGATGATTTGGCAGATCCTGGATCTTTTAATCTTGATAACTGATCTCTAGCTAATTTGGTTCTTCAAACAAGTTTGTAAATCGGATTTAAATGTCTGGATGAACTGATCTGAGATCGCTGCGTGTGTTGTAAAGGACAGATCTATCGATCCTCGAAATCATGATCACCAATGCAACGATTGGCTGACAGCACAGCAGCGTAATGACATCATCTGATTAGTATTCAATTATCCATGTGAGCTAAATTACATAAAATTAGTTGTAAATAGTTTATGATACGCAATAACTTACACCTTGTTGTGGGCTGCATGCTTTGCCCTTTCATGTTTCAAGAGCAGTTTTAGTTTTACAGTTAGAGCGGATTTTCATTATTATAGTAGCCATAGTAGTATTATAGGATAATTGGTGTAAAGAATAACTGGTTGTTTACAAAAGCATTTTATAATATCAATTAATATCAATTTTGATATTGGTAACAAGGTTATTACAATGACTGTAAAAAATATGGACGACGCGACAGCCCTTTTTCCCATTGAACGCCTTGAGGGCAAAACGCCTGCTTGACGGGCACAAACTGTCGCAAAAGACTGCTGAAATTGGAGCCAGACATGCGCAGAAGGATTGTCTGATGGAGCCAGAGGAGGAGCCGCGAAAATGAGCAGAGTCGAGCTTCCAATCAAACGCTTTATGTAAAATCAACTACGCCCCCCGAACTTCTCAGCATGCGTTTGCTGTCATATCAACACAAATGGATGTAATAACGTTAACAAATATGAGGGTTTTATATATTCAATCGCGCCAGCTCCAGGCCGCAGCGCATAACTTACTCGCGGCGTCGCGGGCTGATTCCGGCTCGCATGCGGCAGCGCCTGATCGCTCGGCCGCCGCATCTGGCTCGATTGACTAGGGCTGGAATTGGGTAGTGAGTCCAGGCATCCGGAGTAGGTCCAGCAGAGGTAACATTAGTCAGTCTGAGCTCTAAGAGATAAGTCTCCGGCAGGCGAGAATCTAGCCGGGACTGTGTTTTGCTATCTGGGTGGCTAGGCGTGTATCAGCAAACTAATAAAGCCCGAAAAAAGCCCTGAACTTAGCGAATAAACAGTGTTCCACCAGGATCATGTATGTCAGAAACTATAGTTTACTGCTGAACTCATTTTGTCATGGTAAAATAACACAGAAATCGAATAATAACATTTCAGTCTACTTCAGTCTCCTGCCGAAGCTCAGACGCCGCGCTTTGAGAAACTGTCAATCACAGCTGTCAATCACGATGACACGCCCAGCATTAAATTACTGCTAAAAACAAACTGTTTACAAAAATGAAGATCTGCACCTATTTCAGCACAATAACCAGTGCCTTAATCGACCAGAACTATCTTTCGGGACATTTTATTGCAAGTGTAATATTTTTTTTTATTTGGGCTCAAGTCTCCTTCATTAACACGGAGGAGGCGGGCTTTATGACTTGTACTGCAGCCAGCCCCCAGGGGGCGATCTAACGGCCGAAACCTTCACTCAAACTTAGGCTTGCGGCACACTTGGGTTATTATAGTTGGCGAAAACAAACGAAAAAACGAAAACTAAAATGTAAAATAATTGTCGTTAACTAAAGAAAAAGAAAAATGAGAGTTTAAAAAAAAAAATTGAATGAACTGAAACTAAATTGTGTACATACAAAACTAACTGAAACAAACTAAAATTATAGCAAAAATCTCCTTCGTTTTGCCCAGATCGAGCCGGCTCTCCTCCAGTCTTCCTCGCTATTGCTCCCGCGACAAAAACAACGAGGGCACATGACAGCAGCACGGTGACAGCATTAAATACAGAAACTTAAAACTATTACTTATACACATTTGCGCCCCATAATGGGTTTTATTTCTGTATCTTGAACAAATCTTTTTGACCGGATCTTCTAAGTGAACTGGTTAACCAAATTGAACTGAATCATTTGAAGCGATTCGCGTTCCAGTAAGCACTTATCCACCAACTTCTTAATTTATAACTAGCTTATTAAACCCTCTCACCCTAAATAATCCAATATATACTCTCATTCAGTTATTAGAACAGCAACGTTACATTGAGAAGCGGTAAACCATTAATCCTGCGCATGCGTGATTCAGTGAACCAAACACAAACAATACAGCCTGCTGTGTGACTAAACTGACCTTGAACAACAGCAGTGCGGGTAAACCGAGGGCTTAAATGAGAGGATCTGGTGAAAAACGTACATTTATTTCATAACAGAAAATCCTAAATATATTTAATTAAATGAATCATGATTCAGTTGGGTTGCAAAACTTTACTGTAAGACATTTTTCAGGTCATGGTGATGTTTTAACTGACTGAAATTACAATGTTGAGTCCTAACATCCACGTTAAAAATCTGAACTTCCCATCACCAGGCCCGGATAATTAATTCAGAGGCCCCTTGGCACAATGTCTTCAAATCCCCCTATAGCCGCACCCCATAGTTGAATTAAAAAATAAGATTAATATAATATTTGTTAAATAAAGTTAATTTAAAATGTATTGCCCACATTTTTTAAATAAATGGTTTGCAGTACATATATTTCTAGTCTACAAAGATTAAACTTATTTTTAAAGTACACTTTGGAAAAAAAAAATATTAATACAACTATAGGGGAAATTAATGGATTTTAATATACTTGTTCAAGTTCACTGCAGCTGTACTAAAATTTATATTTAAGGGTATTTTTAATGTATAACTTCTACAAACTTATAATGCACATGATTTGGATATAACACCTCTCCAATCCAGTTCTAGGAATTTGAGTCCTCCATAATATACACACTTATTAATGATTCCCACTAGTCTTCCTCGTGATGAAGAGTAGGCAAATTCTAAGTGCAGACTGCTATCTCGTGGGCTGTTGTATTTAAATTTGAGTATGGGTAAATAGTTGTGGTAGATGATAGTGTTTATGTGTCCTCTGAATACATGTTTAAAAAAATGTATGACTGAGTTTTTTTTTTATACAATATTTATCCTGTTGATTTTGAATCTTGCACCCAACAAATATCCTCATTTAGAAAAAAAAAACTGAAACTAATAAAAACTAAACTAAAACTAAGACATTTTTAAAATATAGAAACTAATAAAAACTAAGAAATCTTCCTCTAAAAATAATTAAAACTAACTGAATTTGAAAACGAAAAGTCAAAACGAAATAAAAACTAAGTCATAAAAAATCCAAAACTATTATAACCTTGATTGGTAAAGTCGTCTGCAACTTTTGTGAAGCATCAAATCACCATCATATTAGCTGTCAAAACATGTTTATGACTTCATAGATGTATTATTGCTTTTAAAAAAAGTCACATATTGTGCATGTCTATTATCATATACAAATTATACTAAAGCAATCTAAATAGTTCATATCAATAAGTTTTCTCTTTGCACCACCAGGTGGCAGTCTTTGTACTTTCATTTCGGGGGTGCAGATTGCATAAGTTTTATTCATATCTATCTATCTATCTATCTATCTATCTATCTATCTGTCTGTCTGTCTGTCTGTCTGTCTGTCTGTCTGTCTGTCTGTCTGTCTGTCTATCTATCTATCTATCTATCTATCCATCTATCATCTATATATATATATATATATATATGTGTGTGTGTGTGTGTGTGTGTGTGTGTGTGTGTGTGTGTGTGTGTGTGTGTGTGTGTGTGTATATATACACACACATCTACACTACTACTACTGTAAGAAAATATCAGAATTCAGTACATACTTTCAGTATTTTCTTTACTTGAACTGAGCCGATCTAATTTTGTTTATGAAATTAGCCTGCTCCCGACCATGTTCGAGCTGCCTGAACTGTTGCTATGACAACAACTCTCGGATCAGTTTTAAAGAACAAAACGATCCTGGATCGTATCAAATCGTCAATAACCAAATCCAGCTAACTGAGTAATCCACGTACGAAGAATGGACCCCAGCTCGTTATCAAAGATCTGCGCTGGTTTATCCTCAAATACAAAGTTTATTTCAGGAAATCCTTAGAATTTTGATACAGGTCAAATTTATTTTTTAACGTGAAAATTATGAACGAAAATTTTAAGATTCAATGTGCAAAAATCTTTAATGTTGTTTCAGAGGTTCTGTGAGATTTCCTGTTAAAATAAAATTAGTCCAATGTTTGGTAGCAGGAGCTTAATCACGATTATAAGCCTCTTAAAGGGATTGTTCACGCAAAAATGAAAAACCTTTCACCATTTATTCATCCTCCATTTTTTCCAAGCATATTGGAGTTTCTTTTTTAACTCAAAACACAAAAGAAGATACTGTAAAGCATCCATTGACTTCCATAGTGTTTTTTGTTCTTACTATAGGTGTCAATGGCTACTGGTTTCCAACATTCTTCAAAATAACTTGTTTTCTATTTAGCAGGGGAAAGGCACTCATAAAAATTTAAAACAAGTAAAGTGTGAGAAAATGAGGAAATTTTAATTTGAGTGATCTATTAGTTTTTAATGGGTTACATTTTAAATAATAAAAAACTGTTATTGGTGGCAGTGGTTTGTGGTTCTATACAGGATACACATACTAAAAAAAGATTAAGTTCTTTGATTAAAGGTAAAATACAGTTTTTGCAATATACTAAGAATGAACATCCATGCGCTGTCTATGCTGCCAAGAAGAGTGGTTAGAGGAATATGTATGTCCTCCACTCTTTCACAAAACTTAAGAAAATGACTCCAGTTCAGAAAGCATCGGATCATAGCATTATAGATTTTAGCGTCATTATGTTTGTACTCATGATAAACTTGCATCGATAAAAGTTATATAATATAAAGGATATGTGAAACTATAGTTAAAAGTAATTTCTTTTTTGGAAGTTTGATGAATATGATAACCAGTGTCTCCTATTTGACAATCAAATTAAGTCAGCAAAACAGAAAGAGGATGGTGAAACTGCATATTTGTGCAGCAACATGAAGTTGATACAGGCCGTTTTCGAAATTGCAACAACAAAACTTAAAGGGGTGGTCCACTACGATATCATATTTTAAACTTTATTTGATGTGTAATAAATCTGTGTGAACATAAACAGCATCTCTGAATGTAAAATGCTCAAAGGTCAATGCAAAGGGAGAGCTTGGTTTTTACAGAGTTAGCTTAGCAAAGCCTACAATGAACGAATTTTTGGACTACTAAAAAATACTTCTGGGCCTTGTGAAATCACAAAAGTACTTTTACCGCGCACACGCACTGCGCAGCTAAGGGCCGTGGCCAGAGGTGCTACAGCAGAGGGAGAAAATGCCATCCTGCTATTTCCACAGAGCTTCTCTGTTTCTGTATCTGGGCTTCCAAAGGACACGACACAAAGTCAGAAGTGCTTACAGTTCAATATTAATTATGTTCCAGAAAACTATAAAATACATAGCAAGCATGATTTGACAAAACAGCTTTCAGAATCTCTCCCCGTTCAGTGCTGGATTCGGTTAAAATCTCCTCAAAGATAAAACAGCTACAAGCAGACGCTGTGAACTAAGCCACGACCTGTAAGTGTTTTTATTTGTTAAAATTGATCATGACATGTAAAGTGTCTAGCCTTAACGATATGTTGTAGCAAAGATGTAAACAACGTGAAATGTTCGCCACCGCTAACGATTTAGCTACAAGTCCATATTTATCAGTTAAACTGCTATAAACAAACACACACACTCTTCAAGCGGCGCTGCAGCCTCTCTCAGAAAATAACTTAATCCAAGCTTCAGAGAAAAATAAAAATAAACATCGCTTCCGCGCACATGCGCTTCTCAGGTTACAGATAGTTCATAGTATAGACATGCACATACATAAACACACACACAATGGCAAACACACACTCTCCTAAAGGAGCCGCTCCCCATTTTCACTCGTTACAGACACTTGTCAGATGTTATTTTAGAGAGGGCGCTTGAGGTTGACTGACTGTTTACACAAAACGCGCGTGCTTGTTCATATTAGATTAGATTAGATTAGATTCAACTTTATTGTCATTACACATGTACAAGTACAATGCAACGAAATGCAGTTTAGGTCTAACCAGCAGTGCAATAGCAGCAAGTGCAGGAGACAGGAATAAGTTATAAAGTGCAGTTATAGAAAACTATGGTGATATTTACAGATGGATGTACGATGAACATTATATACAGGTTGGATAAGCTATGAACAGATTTACAATATATGAATATATGTGCAGGTTGCTATTAATAATCAGTAGTGTGCAGATAAATAAACGATTACAAGTGTATATGTTACAATATATGAATATATGTGCAGGTTGCTATTAATAAACAGTAGTGTTCAGATAGATAAACATGATAACAAGTGTATATGTTACAATATATGAATATATGTACAGGGATAGATGAACATGATTACAAGTGTATATGTTACAATATATGTACAGGTTGCTATTAATAGTGCATGATTACAAGTGTATATGTATAGTGGGTGTGTACATAATTACAAATGCCCATATGCAGTGGGTACGTACAGTTCAATAAGTAAACAGTTCAATGTGGTGCAGTGAATGTGCAAATGTTAAACAGTGCAGTTATTGCGAGGAGTTTAAGTTAGATGAGAGTGGGGGTTGTATTGGGGGGGCAAAAGAGTCAGTGTGGGGCAGAGTTCAGGAGGGAGACCGCTCTGGGGAAAAAGCTGTTCATTGGGAATGCGTAATCGCACCAATCAATGCTTGGGAAAAGAATCATTTAACAGTCTGAAACTGCCTGATCTAGAACACAAATAGACATTAACTATTCATAAAACGTGTTTCTTATAAAATAGGTATTTTTATCTACATGTAGCCTAAAAAAAAAGGAAAATTTGACAAGTTGTATAGTTTGACCTACAGTAACCTCTAAAATAGCTAATTAATCACTAAATATCCGTCAATACACTGAAAATGTATACGTAAAACTAACATGCTGACACTAACATCTAAAAATGTATTTTGACCTTATAGGACCTTTAACATGGAGGTTTGTAACAATAGAAATGTTTAATGTTTGTACTTGGTTGTATGAGAACTACTAATATGAAGCCACACAATTTCATGCCCTTTGCTGTCTAAAATATAATCTTTTGCGTCACTGGTGTAAAATAATACATGAGATTTGCCTGCTTCTCAGGGAACTGGGACGTAAAGAGAGGGAGGTCCTACAAAAGATGGCTGAGATCACCAAAGAGGGCTTCCTCCTCAAACAGCAGCTCATTGAGGAGGCCAAGAAAGGAAGAGGAGAAAAGCAGGCACGATAAACTTTATATAAATGGCCTTGTCAGACCAACGTCTTATAATTATTTGTGTTCATATTTTACAGCTGATTACTATACAGTACATTTGTTTGTTCAGCTGATAGTTTTGTAATTATCTCAAATATCAGTTCCTATGCATTAAAATAAAATGTTGGATTGGTCTATTATTTATTTATGAAATATGACATGAAAGTATTGCTTATAAACACTGCAGTTTTAAAAAGTGAAAGTGTGAGTTTTGGGAAATGTAAAATGTTATCGTCTCTGTAGAGCAAAGTGACTGAAATGCAGGACAATAAGAAACAGCTTGAGGAGAAGGTTGAAGCACTGAGGACAGTGAAAGAAACAGCAGAGCAGCCTGAGAGGGAAGCTAAAGAGCGCCATCTCAAGGCCTGGGAAGGTGAGTGCAGCTCTTTATATTAAAGACAAAGCTAACATGTATCTTTTTTTTTTTTTTTTTTTTTTTTTTTTTTTTTTTAAAGCTAGACTGCATTCCCCATGCCAAAAACTACAGAATTCATCAGTTTTTCTTGTTTGTAGCATTTCATTTTCTTCAAAATGATTAAAATGCTAATTATAGGAAAGAATGACTTGCAGTGTTTAGGTTTTTTTTTTTTATCATTATTTACATCTAATTTGTTTTCTTTGAATTCCAGAACAAAAGGCAGCTATTCGCTTGGTGAAAGACAAAGCTAAAATGGCTGAAGCCTTTTTAGAGCTGGATGATAATGCAGATGGCTTGTAAGTGCCTGTGAATATCTTGTTTTCACTGTGTGTATGAAGAATGAATGTAAAATGACCTTGTTTCTGTGTTTCAGAGTGTCAGTCTCTGAGCTTCAGTCTCATGCAGAATTGGATTCAGATACTGATGGCACACTTTCTGAAGCGGAAGCCAAGGTGTTTTTGCATATAATTATATTTCACATAAAATTCATCACCAGTCAAAATGCAAGTTATTCTTTTTTTTGAAACTGCAAATTGCAATTAGTTTAATTTATGTGATTTGTTCAGGGGCTGATGGGAGGAGTCGAACAAGTGGATACAGCAACATTTGAGTCCGTTTGGGAAAACATTAAAGACAAGTACCACTCTGAGGTAAGATTATTTTATTAACAGAATTACAAATCATGTTAGGAGAATTCTTCATTCTACACATATTTATTGTTAAAAAAAGGTTCCATATTATAATAAATCAAAATAATGTACTTAAATTCTACTGGCATTATAATAATTACAAGTCTTATAATTCAATTTATAATTATAATTTTATACGTACCATGGATCCATGCTTTCATGTTGTTGATCCAAGTTCTGACCCTATCATATGAATGTCGCAACAGAAATCGAGACTTTTCAGACCAGGCGATGTTTTTCCAATCTTCTGTTAACCAATTTTGGTGAGCCTGTGCGAATTGTAGCCTTAGTTTCCTGTTCTTAGCTGACAGGAGTGGCACCAAGTGTGGTCTTCTGCTGCTGTAGCCTATCCATCTCAAGGTTGAAAGTGTTGTGTGTTCAAAAATGCTCTTTTGCATACCGCTGTTGTAACGAGTGGTTATTTGACTTCCTGTTGCCTTTCTATCAGCTCGAACAAATCTGACCATTCTCCTCTGTTCTCTGGCATCAACAAGGCATTTGCGCCCTCAGAACTGCCCCTCACTGGATATTTTTTTCTTTTTTGGACCATTCTCTGTCAACCCCAAAGATGGTTGTGCCTGAAACTCCCAGTAGATCAGCAGTTTCTGAAATACCTGCCCGTTTGATACCAACAACCATGCCACGTTCAAAATTCTTCCCCATTCTTATGCTCAGTTTAAACTGCAGCAGATCATCTTGACCATGTCTGCATGCCTAAATGCATTGAGTTGCTCCCATGTGATTGGCTGATTAGGAAGCATTTGGACAGGTGTACCTAATAAAGTAGCTGGTGAGTGTATAGTACCTTTAATATTGCTGTCAATATTATTTACAGTGTGATTTATTCCTGAAATAGGTGTTAGCTTCAAGTGTCACATGATCCTTCAGTAATCATTATCAAGAAACTTTATCAAACTTTCTTTAAACAGTAGTGCTGTGAAATTTTTTCTTATGGAAATCATGTTACTTTACTGATTTTTTTTTTAAGACTAGAACAGCATTACATTGAAAATCTTTTGTATAACTTATCAATTTAATGCATCCTTGCTGAATAATTAAAAAAAAATAACATGACTGCATAAATGGTTTTATTAGTTGATATTTCTTGGTGTATTTAATAGCATGAACTAATTCTGAACAATACTTGCACAGTAGGGCTGCACAATATGTTGCTTCAGGATCGATAGCACAATGTGGGCATCTGCAATAGTCCCAATGTTAAATTACAGATGACAAGGAGAACACATGATTTCTGGAGTCGCCTGTGACTGAACATTTCAAGAGAGTTTAAAATGTTTGGGCACAAAAAATTATGATGTTTAAAAGTGTCATTATTTAAACAATTTATATAAAATAAATAATATAAAGTTAAAGTTAAAAATAAAGTTAAAGTTAAAATAAATTATATAAAGTTTTTGTTACTTAGAATTTTTGTCTTGTTTCTAGTCCAAATATCTACAATTCAAACCGTAAAACGCGATTATTTTCTTTGCTCTAGTGGCAGATAATTTAAGGAAAACACTTAATTTTGAGTTGTTGTTTTTCTGAAGGAGAAAAAGACTATATTTTTACTTTAAGATTTTTTTTCGATATTTGGACTAAAAATGAAACGGAGTTTGTTATTACTGTACCTGAATACTATTAGACTCCCCAGAAAACTGCCAAATAGAGCTACTCATCTTGTGAAACTATTTATATCGCAATATTTATCGCAGAAAATGTAAATATTGCAATATCAGATTTTTTTTTTCAATAGAGTGCAGCTTGCTGTGCTTTATTTATTATTCATTGTTCAACATTTACTAATGCATTTATTAACATACAGATTCATGCGTGCTATCATTGTACTAACAATGAATAGCTGTATTCTCATTCACTAAAGTTCACTAACATGAACAAATGCTGTGTATATCAAATAGATAATTGTTTTATTCATTTTCTTAAATGTAAAAATTAACTAGTACAACCTTATTCAAAAGTGTCACCAAGTGTTTGTGGTTGACTGTTACAAAATCAGACAAATTGAGTGCCATTTCTGATTTATTTTTGTTTTTAATAAATTGTCCTAACACAAGATGAACATAAAATTAGCATGTATTTTAAATCTGTTTTTTTTTTGCCTCTTAGTCGCAGCCTGAAGAACCTGCACCAGTGGAAACCCCTGTAGATGAAGTGAAGGAGCCAGTTGTAGACAATGAATCTGAGCCGTACCCAGAAGACATCTCTGAGGAAGAAGATGAGGACGATGATGATGACGATGAATATCATGAAGAGGACGAAAAGGTGAGAGGACATATCACTCTCACAACCTGAGCAAGCATTATAACAGCGATGTTTAGATCCGCAGTGACATTTTGAGTCTTCTATTAATGCTTTTCCACTTGACATTTAATGTCCTTAACCTTTAACTCATGTCCTAAGGCTTGGTGGCAAATGTCTTACAAGGCAGTGTGTTCTAACTGATGTTCACCACACTGTGCAGGTGTAAAAATGTTAGTGTGGTCGTTTATTTGCAGGCGCCACCCACCATGAAGACTCCAGAGAAGAGTCAAGAAGATGAAGAAGCCATGCCACCCTACGAGGCGGACACCCAAGTGCTTATTGAAGGTTGGTTCAGAGCGTCCGTTTAGACGCTAGGTTGAAACATTTTAGAGAAAAGCCTTTTATAGTTGATCTATTTTAATCTGTAATTATTTTTTTCCACATTGCTGGTGTGCATAATTTAAAAAAGCACTATTGGAAACTTTGTCTTCTAGAGTTAGTAAGATAGGCCCTATTTACATCTGATATTAAGGAATGATGTGCCAATCCCGACACTTGGATTGAATATCGGTTTGATACCACATATTTTTGCTGAATCGGGTATTGGCCAGCTGGAACTGATCTAAATCCGATCTTGCGCATGCGCTATATTCTGTGTAATTTATAAGCTGACAAAAGCCATGAAGGAAGCCTATTATAAGGCACTAGAAAGTTGTCATGTATATCTACTATATTACAAATGTTCTGAAGCCATTCTATAGTTTAATGTGAAGTGGAGAGGAATATTCAAGTGATTAAATTCATGTTCACATCAACGCTTCCCACCGCCACGCTGTCAATCATTCTCTAATCATTCACAATCCAAACTGCGTGCCGCATTCATGACAACACGAAACACTTTCTCCAAGACTATTTTACCCTGTTTGTTTAAATAATCTGTGGAGAAATGCAGTTAGTTTTGCATTAAATGGGTTCATTTTAAACTGCAACAGAGTTCATTGCTGTTTCTAAATCATGTTGCACTGTCTCTGTTATCAGCAGATAACATTCGCAACACTGGAGTAGAGAGGGTTATTACCTGCTCTTCACACACAAAGCAGGCCTACCTGAATGTTGAAACTTTAAATTAAAGAGGGTCAATAATATATTGAACAGATCCTCAACGCACTAATTTCTTCCTTTTGTGCTGCTGTTTTAAAAGTTTTGCAGATACCGGAGATTTCATTGATTCATTAAGCGCGTCATTTACACACCAGCTGCGCAGATGAAACATGCGCCGCTTCATAAAAATATTTTCACAATAAGTTTCTGTTCTCTCATCTTTCAGACTGAGTTTATTCTTCAGAGGGGAATACTTTAAGTGCTGTGACTAGTTTGTAAAGCCTGGCTCATTGTGGTCAAAGTAGTTGATTAGTAAAAGTGAAACTGACGGGCGCAAGATGGATTGTCATTAATTACTCAAACTGTGAATATTTCACTGTAATTTTATTTATATTCATATTTTATTTAACAGATCAGTTTTTGCTCTGAAGCATATAAGCGGATCTTGTTTTGAATTTCACCTCAAATCTTCTTATTTTGATAGCTGACCCAACAAAAATACACTAAACCAACAAATTATACTAAACAGAATTCATTTAAAAAAAATAATTTTTTAGACTAATTATTTTTTTTAGACATGCTCTGAGTTTCTCCCTCTCACTCACAGCCAGTTTACATGAGGGAATGTTTATTAAGTAAAACTCAACCTCAGAAAATACAAGCTTTGTTAAAAGGCTTTTATTTTACCAGCGATAAGTTCTGTAATTAGTTCAGATGTCAAAGAAAAATGTTAATATTAAAAAAGGAAACAAGCTGGACCACAACAGATCAATGTCATGACTAATGCTCAAATAATGTAGCCTAGTTTATAGCAAGCATCATGTTTTTAGTTCGATTGTGCTGTCTGTCATGTATAGTAGGCCTTTAGGTCTGTTATTTTTACTAAAGAAGATATTATTTGAGTTTATCAGCAGAACTATAGAAACTGCAAAAAAAAAAAGATTAAATAAAAAAAAAAAAAACTGCACAGTATCTGGATCAGATCTGTATCGGTCGAGAGTATTGAGATCGGATTGGTTCCAAAAAAATGGTATTGGTGCGTCCTAATTTTAAGATGCATATTAGTTGATTTGTTCATATCATAATATTGCTGGTTTTACCCTATTTTTGAGTTTGTTTTTTTTAACCTCAAAAACAATGTTGTAGAATCAGTCGCCACAGAATGACACAAGTATTTAATTCTAAGAGAAGATCTTTCCAACAAGTTGTATTTGAAATGTACTGATTTCATGCGGCCTCCATTTTAAAAGCGAAATCGATGCTGTGGGGGGAAGAATCCCTGAAATATCACACAGGAATGTTGTGTACCTGGCTAGAAAGTGACACAAATTTATAAGTTCACCACCTACCGAGTGACGGGAAGATCCGTTTTGAATGGATAGTGAAAATAAAAAGGGATATCAGACCTTTTTTTAGCTAAGGGAAATGGCACTATTTAGCTAATGTTTTCTTTTCCAAAAACATGTTTTAGTTGCCATTTATCAAACTCAAGTTAATGAACTGATACTATCACTATATTAGACTCTCACGATACTGAATTTCAGTTCTGAAATTTATAAAAAAATATCATCAGTGCTCAACAGAGATGACTGTCATTGGCTATGAAGGTCATCAGTTCACTGCACTTTACTGCTGTTTACAGAGCAAATTCAAACGTGCAATCTGCCGATCTCTGCGGCTTTAAAATTCTCTAGTGTCCCTGTATCTGTGTTGCCACTGGTGAAGAGCTGTAAACTGATGACCTTCAATCACAGTCATTTCTGTTGAGCACTGTTGAATGCTATGGTAAATCAGCAGCGTTTAAGAACGCGCTCAACAGTGCTTAAATGTTAGCGGGAAATGGACGTTTTTAAAATTCCGTACACTTACAGACAACACAAGGATGTGCTACAGAGGACTATTGTTTTAACGCTCACTGGGTTACATAGGCTGAAGCAGGGAATCGTCCCCACGGTGTTTACCAGCTTTCAGGAACTGAAGCCTTGAAGGACACTTAAGGCCCCGTTTACACTAGTGCGTTTTAGTTTGAAAACGCATAAGTTTTGCTACGGTTACGCCATCCGTCCACACTACGCCGGAGTTCTCGGGCGCCGAAAACGGAGCTTTTTGAAAACGCTGGAGAGGCCGTTTTCATTCTAAAACGCTGCTGCTCCGTCTCAGTGTGGATTGGGAAAGACGGAGACATCTGAAAACGGAGGCGGGGCTGCAAACGTTCGCCTATCTGATTGGGGCTTTTCCTCAATATTGAGTAGCCCACACACAGTTCAGTCTCGCATCCTCTTCTTGTAAGTTAAGACTTCGCAAGTTTGATCAAGGCTGCAGTCTCCCCTTCTCAGTTTGATATGGAAAACATATCGAGGACACGGGTAAATCTTCAAAGGGAACAGTGTACTTTATAACTTCATACACATCACCTTGGCTACGTTGTTTCACTTTCTCAACAATAAAATGTAAACATGATTTAAGGAACTGCCTATTTTCTTTTTAATATTAGCAACTTAACAGACAGCAGAAATGTTGAGGCGCCGTGCTGCATTTATGAGCGTCATCTTCACTGTGTGGATATTTATAACAAAACGGAGCCGATAACAACTGCCTCCTTTCAATTTCAGTGAAAATACGAAACACACCCTCTCTTTTGCTGAATATAAGTTTTAATAATCGATAATTATAAAAGTATAACATACAATAAGTTTATACATTGTAGGAAATAAAGGCAAGCGATCAGTCAATGTACCTGGATTAATCATTAACTTATCTTTGCGCTTAACCAAAACATGTTACCCGTGAACAAGTAACTTAATAGATTCCAATGACCAAAGTCAGGGAATTGGCCTATGTCGTTAGATAAAGACAACAACATGAATGAAATATCACGTTTAGCAAATATAGTGAGATTAGATCCAGCGGGAGATGCTTGATGAGCAGTCCGACAAGCACAGCTCTCATCTGGGTAGAAATGCTGGAGCGCTTGCCCGAGTGTGTGTGTGTGGTCACGTGATGTGCGTTTTCAGCGTTTTGGTGTGGACGGAGAGCTGTTCAGAAACGCTGGGTAAAATGCGAGTGTGGACGTGGATCGTTTTCATTCTACAACGTTGTTTTCAAACTAAAACGCACTAGTGTAAACGGGGCCTAAGTGTATTTCTCTTAAAGAGATTATGTTGTTTGATGCCTAATGTACTTTTTTTTTGTTTGTTTGTTTAAATTACACTGAAATGGATGATATTAAAGTGATGTTTACCCCATATCTGCATTTCGAAATAGCAACAACAGCTGAAGGTTTGCAGTCCACAACATGTTGCAATGTTTACAGTGCTGATCGGATACTTCCCGGTTTCTTCCCACCACAGCCTCGCTTTCATGTTGGCTGCATTAAATAAGCGTATATCAATTTAACTATGAACAATGTTTTATTAGATTGTGTTGTTTTTAATTCTGTGAGTAATTGATTTTATTCAATTCATTCTTTTGAAGTGATTTTCAACAGTGCTAAACCAAATATAGTTTCACAAGGAGCATCAATGTCAGAGCTTCCCATTCACTTTGAATAGGTGACGTCCAGCAATGCCAAACTGAATTGTGGCTCTGTCTGTGCTGCTTCAAATTGTCCTCAAAATTTAACGAATTTCTCAACTTTTCAAGTGCCAAAGGAAGTGTCAGCGAATCAGGTCGCTTTATGCAAATACCCCAGCTTAGATAGTAGGCGATTACGGACTTGTTTCATTGGCTGACAATGCTATGACAATCACGTCAGCCCCATCTTCAGACATGCCCTCTGTCAAGCATTGTTGCTAAAGCTTCATATGAATCAGGTGCTAGTGTTTTAAGCAGAAATAATTACAAATTTAGCAAAGGTAAAACCGTAATATAACCTGTGTCTCCGGCGTACAACTTCTCACCATGAAAATTGACATTCAGGCTGGACCGACTTTGAAAAATAACAGTAATAATACTAATATTAAACATTTTTATTTTTATATATACAATATCGAATTATTGTATTGAGGTTAATATTAAATTGTGACTTGAGTGTATCGTTACACCTCTTTACCTTTAAAAAAATATTTTTTTCTTGGTTTTGTTAAGAAAAACCTGAATCTTGGACTTCTAGTTTTAATTTAGGGATTGACCAACCCTGATTCAGATATAGCCTTGGAGGCTGACATGGTTTAAAGAAAGAAATAAAAGTTGTAAACAGGACCATAGTTTCTTCATAATATGAGTTATGTTGATTGATTTTGTTTTGTCATTCACAGCTGCTCAAAAGGCCAGAGATGATTTTGAGGAGGCTGAAAAAGCACTTCGGGAAATGGATGATCAAATCAGGTTTGTTATTATTAAGTACTGCTATTAAATAATACTGATTTACCCACTTCTTCTTATTTTTTTTTTTATTAGAATTTTTTTTTTTTTTTCAATCCACTAAAATTTAAGATGTGTTTTGTGTGGAGCCCCACATTTTTAACAGTGTATACATGTTGGTAACATTGTACAATATGGTTAATTATGCAGTTCACTTTAGTTAATTTACTAGTTACAATATATAATATATAATATAATACATAATATAACAATAACAATATATAATACAATATAATCTTTGTTCCTAAACAGCTGTTCATTTTATGTTCATGAAGGTTGTTTATAAAACAAGTTGAGCTCTGTTACTTATTTAATAAACATTTATAAATGCATTTTATAGAGAGAATTTAAATTTGCGAGTGTACAATCATTTACTTGCAGTACTCCTACTTGTTCTAAATTGACTTGAGTTGTTGTTTTTTCATCATTTGAACACAGAAGTAGATATTTGGAAGAATTGTTAACTGTTAGGCTTTGACTTCTGTCGTATTTATTTTTTTTCTTTCTACACTCAGAAATAAAGGTACAAGAGCTGTCACTGGGGTGGTACCTTTTCAAAAGGTACAAATTTGTACTTGAAGGGTCCATATTGGTACCTCAAAACTATAGATTAGTACCTACAAATTTTAAGAGGAACACTTTTGTACTTTTTAGGTACTAATATGTATCCTTGAGGTATTAATATGGACCTTTAAGGGACAAATTTGAACCTTTTGAGGGGGTACCACCCCAGTGACAGCTCTCATACTTTTATTTCTGAGAGTGTATGAAAGTCAATTGCTACTGATTTTCATCATCCTTTAACTGAAAAATTATACTCCTAAAGATTTATAACCACTGGAAAGTTATCAGTAAATCCTGAGTTTCTTTATTTAGGGTAAACTAGCACTTTAAAATAAAAAGTTGCATATGGTAATGTAAAAATTGAAACAGCAATTTGAATGAGTTCAAGTGAATCTTATTGTAATAATAGGGCTGTGCTGATAAACGATATATCGAATCGTGATCAAATTTATGACGATAACAATGATAAGCTCTAGACATTTTTACTCAATCTGAGAGCCAATCACATAGCAGATATATGCAACAACAGGAATCTGTAATTGGGTTAACATAAGAGATTTGCTACGCCACCCAGTATTTAGTGAGGTCATTTCACTTTCCCACCAGCAGTATTAGCCTTTAAACTGTTGTTTATTTTAATTATTAATATGTTTACAATTTTAAATAAAACATTTACTTTATAATAACTCTGTAATTGTTTATTTTTGTATGTGTACTGTATATGTGCTGTCAATGACATACACTCACCGGCCACTTATTAGGTAGACCTTACTAGTACCAGATTGGACCCACTTTTGCCTTCAGAACTGCCTTAATCCTTCGTGGCATAGATTCAACAAGGTACTGAAAATATTCCTAAGAGAATTTGGTCCATATTGACATGATAGCATCATGCAGTTGCTGCAGATTTTGTCAGCTGCACATCCATGATGAAAATTTCTCGTTCCACCACATCCCAAAGGTGCTCTATTGGATTTAGATCTGGTGACTGTGGAGACCATTTGAGTACAGTGAACTCATTGTAATGTTCAAGAAACCAGACTGAGATAATTCACGCTTAATAACATGGCGCGTTATTCTGCTGGAAATAGCCATCAGAAGATGGGTACACTGTTGTCATAAAGGGATGGACAGGGTCAGCAACAATACTCGGATATGCTGTTGTGTTGACAAAATGCTCAATTGGTACTAATGGGCCCAAAATGTGCCAAGAAAATATCCCCCACATCATTACACCACCACCATCAGCCTGAAACATTCTGAAATTCTGGAGATGGTTGTGCGTGAAAACCCCAGTAGATCAGAAGTTTCTGAAACACTCCAATCAGCCCGTTTGGCACCAACAACCATAACAAGTTCAAAGTCACTTAAATCAGCTTTCCCCATTCTGATGCTCGGTTTGAACTACAGCAGATCATCTTTACCATGTCTACATGCCTAAATGCATGGAATTGCTGCCATGTGATTTGCTGATTAGACATTTGTGTTAACAAGCAGATGGACAGGTGTACCTAATAAAGTGTATATATTGTAACTGCTCAAATATTTTATAGTGTATATCAAGTATATTAGAGAAAAATCATAATCTGCAAATTAAAAAAAAAAAGGAATGTGTAAACTGTTTTTGTTAATAAACAATACTTTAAAATGTTATTTAAAGAAGTGTGCAATCTTTGTGGCTTAAGTTATTGTTGGGATCTTCTTTTATAGCTGGAAACATTAACTTGTATCGAAATATATATCGTTATCGTTCAATATGGACAATAATTATTGAGATCGTCATATTTTTGCCGTATTGTTTAGCCCTATTGTAAAATTATTATTATTTTTTTAATTTTAACGTTACTAATGTTTTCTTGAGGAGTAAATGATGGGTTTTTTAAAGAATTTGTTTAGTGCATGAGCTTAAAGTTAACTAAATGATGCTATTTAGGCATATATTAGCAAAAACAAGGCTAAATCAAAACAATGCAGATGACTAAAACTAAATGCCATTATAGTTAAAAGATTGACAAAAAATCGTAACCAACATTTTTACACTAAGTGAAATCGTTGTTTGTCGATGCGTTGCATTTTCTTAGTGTAAGGTTGCATCACTTTTGCAAACCCTTGCGTTTGTCTGCTACTTTCTTCCATCCTTGAATGCATTCTCCATGTTCTTTAATGCCAGTGTGCGAAGGTGAACGCTGTGTTGTTTTCCTTTGTGTTGCAGAAACATTGAAAAAGAGCTGTCCTTTGATTTTGGCCCTAACGCCGAGTTCACATACCTGTACAGCCAATGCTACGAGCTCTCGACTAGCGAGTAAGTCAGACCAGTTTTGTTATGTTGGAATGATTTTTTGTGTGTGTGCGTGTGCGTGTGCGTGTGCTATCATTTACGTCAATATTGACCTGGGTTTGTGTTCTTTTAGGTACATATACAGACTCTGTCCTTTCAACCGTGTTTCACAGAAACCCAAGTTTGGAGGATCAGAAACCAACCTTGGGTAAGGGAGACTTCTTAAAACAGAAGAAAAACATCGCAAACCAGTCCATGAGGGTGTTCTTTAAAAGAAAGTAATACTTTTATTCAGGAAGATAGTGATACTTTTATAATGGTATTAAATATGCCAAATACTTGTCTTTTGAATACTTGTCTTCTTTTTCTATTCATCAAAAATACAAATAAAATAAAATAAATCGGTAGCACTAGTTTAGGTCACATTTTGTGTTATTAACAAGTCGTTAACTAACAATACTAGTGTAATAAACTATTAATACAAACATAATATAACAGTTAATAACCTTATATTAGGCAGGTAATAAGCCAGTAGTAAATGACAGGAATTGTGACCTAAACTAATATGTTACCAAAAAGCTATCACACTTTCAATATTTTTGAAATTAATATATTATAAACCAATAATATATGACATCAGTTTCTGAAAGATTGTGAGACACTAATGACTAAATTGGTTTGTTTGTGGATTAAAATATATTAAAATAGATTTTAATACAATATTTCACAATTTGGCTGTTTATTCTTTTTTTTTCTAAACTCTTTAGTTTAACATTATTAACTAGTGGCTTATTACCTGCTTGTTTTTGAAATTTTGTCTGTTTGTACTTATAAAGTACATATTTTGCATGATCTTATTCTACATCTTAAACCCTACTAGGGTTGTGACGATGAGGAAATTTCCCCACCGCTTAATCAACATGTGACAATACCGGTATCACGGTGGGGGTTGGGGGTTTCCTCTTTTCCTCTTTTTTTCTGCTTTTAAATAGCTTATAAATGCGTGCGTATAATACTTTCACTTTCAGTTTTGTCGGATTTGCCAATTCGGCGTCAATTGTTTGAATAGACAACTACTCAAATAATACTTGAATAAACTACAAAAAAAATCACTGTTATTAAACACAAAACTTTTATTAACATAACTAAAAAAAAAACACAACAATGCTACTGGCTGAAAAAACTGTGGAAGTTGGAACCATACAAATAACAACCATAAAACTTTTATCACGTTGCCTATGTTAGAATGATTTTAAAACAAATAAGAAAATAAAATACTTCAATTTCTTAATGTATTTATTAGCCTAATGTATTATATATTAATAGCTTGGTCCTTATGAACAATCCGTTTATAAAATTCATTATTAACCAATCAATAGGCTATTGAAGAATAATCCGAATATGAAATATGATCCTTGCATAATGATCACAACTAAACAAGCTAGCACTCACTTATATATAAACTATAAATAAAAAATGAAAGAAATGTTAAGAAATGGAAGATTATGTAAAAAAAACTAAAGACTACAGGCTAAATAAAAGGGCCTTGTCAGAGCTAAACTTTACCACACACGCGTGTCAGTTTACAGATTCTGTAAAGATCAGACAGCCTATACAGATCACAATCTCAATAAACAACATGTACATGTATAAATATTTCGATAAGTATTTTTATGGAATATTTATAACTATATGATCTTGCTTTTGGTTATATCAGTACCAGCGTTGAGCTTTCTCTCACAAGCGGCAGTTGACAGGTGCTGCATAAGGGCGTTATACACTGTCAGTGGTGGAATACACACAGCATGCACTGGCAAGATGTTTTATTTTTAGTTTTATTTGTTGCCGATTTGCATGTTAATTTTTTTAAAATACCTTTAATTTTTTAAATCTCTCAGGTTAATGTTGTCTATTGAGTAACATAATCTCCCTCAGAGATATTGAAGTGGTGCACAGTATGACTATTGACCAACACCTCCCTGTAAGTTTACACACTGCATAAGCCTACAGCTCTGGTGTGTTATGAATTGCATGTTTTAAATGGCAGCGAGACATGCTACGTTTAGTTTTTATTGTAAAATATACATTATAACTCTGTACACAGTAAAAGAATATTTTTTGAATGGCTTGCCTATTGGCGGTGTATATAACCGTAAAGTTTATATAGGCTAAGCATATTTTTATCAGTATTAAAACACATTAATACAAACTAGCCCATTTTTTTTTTTTTTTTTGCGTATATTTTTATAAAACCATTTATGTTGGTTTTCATTTTATTAGAATTAATATAATTAATAGGCTACACAACTCCTACATAACATTGGTTCCAATTGCGGTTTGACAGATATCCTACAGATAAACTTTTTGGCTCAAAGACATTTATGCCTGTTAATTTTAGTGCTGTATTTTGACAGATTTCTCAAAGGCTTCAGCTATTCTACCTGTCAGCTGCACCAGCCACAGTTTTGCGACTTGACTTATGTGATGTCTCGATGTCTGAATGACATCAGATTCTATGTGTGGCCGCACGTCACAGTTACTTTATTGCAATTTTTAATATTGGCTCATCTAAATTGCTAAACATATACTGCCACCTTTGTCAGGCAAAGTTTGCAGATTGCCTCATTAACGTCTTCAGGTTCTCTTTTTGCATTTGGTTTGAACCCAAAATATTGCCAACCAGGCGCTTTTGCATAGCGTTTTGAAACTAAATCGTCCGCCATTCTCTCTCTGTAAATTCGACGACCCTTGTTCTTCTCGCGTGATAAATGAAATGACGCATTGCTATGTTCAGATTTTAATTATAGTGCTTTCGTCTAAAGTAAATTATTTAGAATATTTTCCATTTAATTCAAACAAATATTTAATAAAAAAAAAACAAATACTTAAAGTAAAATAAAATAAATGTGGGGACGGTGTCACGGTGGAAAAGTGATGTCACCGGTGTTGCATCTTAAAACCGGTATCACCATCAACACCGTCTATTGTGACAAGCCTAAACCCTACCCAGTACTAAATTCAACTAATAACTTAAGTCTTGTGGGTGCGTTCAAATTATTGAGCTTTCGACATAATCTCAAAAAAAAAAAACTAAGAAAGGGTGGGAAATAAACTAGCTCCTTCCCATTTAAAAAAAACGCCCCCTTTAAAAAAAAAACACCGCTTTGCCAGTGAGAGTGGTTGAGCTTAAGCTCATCAAATTAAAAACAAATAAGAAGCGTCTTGAAGTGTCAGATACTAGAGAGCATTTGATAGGTTAAGATTTTAAGAGAAACTGCAGTATGAGGTAACATGAATAAAACGGTTGATTCATATAGGTGGAAGTGGAAAAACTACAAGTTTAAGCTGTTTATATCAGTTTTATCTTTTTTAAATGCAAGTTTTGTCACTGTTTGGTGTGCACTAGCTTATAGAAATCTTAAAAATTAATAATACTGATACTAACATTTAAACAACTTTCTTAATTTCATGTGGCCTTTAATAACAATGGTAAGCAGCAGTTTAAGGTAAAAGTCATAGTTAATGGTTTGGTAATAGGAATAATTGTATCTTAGTCAAGTGTAAGCATTTTTTCTTGTTTATATTTAGATTACCTTTGACGCTAACACATTAAAGGTTCACAAAGTGAATTGTCAAATGATGTTAATGTTTTGAAAACGGCAAAAAAAAAGTTTAAAAAGATGCCTCCTGTAGGAATTTTACCAATATCATTGATCAAGTGAAAGAACTTTTATGACTTTTTATCAGTGTTGTTATCTGTTTGTTTATTAGTATTATACAATGCATGTATAAAAAGTTATGAATCTTAAGATTGTAAATTCAATATTTATTACCAATGTTGCCTTGTTTATAACCAATGCTGCTAATTTGGCATTAAAAATATAGAAATAAATAAAATGAACATGCCCATAACACATGTACTTATTGCATAGCGATTTTACTCTATTACAAACATGCTCGGTTTTAAAAACGTTTTAAGCTTAAAATATATTATTGAGGTGCAGCTGATCACAGGGAGTTGGAATAGATCTTTTAATCCCGGTTTTATTGCAAAAAAGTTCTGTGGACGTGTATACATGTTATTATGGAGACATGGCACCTGTCAATCAATTTGGTTGGTGGTATAAACCATAAACCAAACATCTTGTTGTGGTGCAACTCAAAATCACTTGGATTTGGATCCTGTTTTAATGTCAGTAAATTTAAAAAAAATTGACTTGGGTTTATATTACCCCATTATGACTGTGGACACATTAAACCTATACACACAGTTCTGTCCAAACAGCTTCTAAAAGTTCATTTTCATCATAGGTGCCCTTTAAAAACAAACATTTAATTGTTTAGTTATTTTATCTTATGTCTTTGTCATCCTACTTGCAACAGCATGACACGTTTTAGGCAGACTTAAATGCAAATCGCTCCTGTTTGCAGGACATGGGGAAGCTGGTCAGGGCCTGAAAATAACAAGTACTTGTCGATGAAGTACGAGCACGGCACTGGGTGCTGGCAAGGTCCAAACAGATCAACTACAGTAAGTAGCGGTTCTTTCATTTCCTCACTGTGCCACTCACGCAGGGAGCTTTTCAGCTAAGAGTGTGTCTTTGTGCGGCAGGTGAAGCTGACTTGTGGGAAGGAGACCATGTTGACCTCCACGTCGGAGCCCAGTCGCTGTGAATACCTAATGGAGTTCATCACTCCTGCCGTGTGCCAAGAGCCAAGCAACATTGACCTCTCGGCACATGGACACACGGAACTCTAGACCCCACAGTCTGCTTGTTGATGCACGGTACGACACTCAATTCATACTTTATTAAATTGAGAACAAAAAAGCAAGGCCGGATTTAGCAAGATTTGTTGAGTCTTAATTGTTTTGTTGGACTTTTCACACTTCTAATGTAATGAGGTCTGGAGTTTGCCATAGTGATGACAGCTAGTCTGACTTGCTAATAGTTTCTGCTAACAACACTGGAGTGATTGTAAAAAACAAAAGCATCTACAACTATTATTTAATGATGCAGATAGAGCTATAAATGGTGTAACTTTGATTTGTTATGCCAACGATTGCAAACCTGTGACCCATTTGTTTCATTTGTTTTCACAAAGTGTTAATTGTCTACATGTGTGGATTTCCTGGGTGTTATACAGCTATGGAAAAATGAAGAGCAAGTTCTCAGTTTGTCTAGATTTATGAGATTTATTAGACACCAATGTTAAAGATGCAAAAGGTGTTTGTTTTCCAAAACATTTTTTGTTATGCTGGTTGAAAGTCTCTTTACATCCTGATAGCAGTCATTAAATTAAGTGGTCCAGATGTATTTATATGTGTTTTATTAATATGTGGAAGGTGTTGGACCAAGAAAAGTTCATCCAATCAAAATGTTCGGTCCGAACATTATGATAGGCTGTCCTACCTCAGTGTAACCGCAGGGTCTTAGGGTGTATTCATATTAGGTACTGTTGCCTTGAACCGTGCTGAATCGCGATTGTCCCCCCTTCTCCTCTCCCTTTTGGCCTGTACTCGCACTGCATTTTTTATCTAGAAACCTGAGCACGCTTATGTCATTGATGCGCTGTTTAAAAGGAAGAGAAGCTTTCTCGCTCAGCACAGTGGACATTGCTTTAATTATATTGTTTTAGTCAACTGGGATGCAGTGACACACAGTCAAATATTTTGCTGAACAGATCTGCAACTTTTGATGCTCATAAATTGAGTGCGCCCTTAAAAATGTGTTAAATCTCAAAAGCTAAATTTTAGACCTTAAGTCTTGAATCTGCATACCTCTGCAAGAAGTACAGCATAAAGGATTATGTCATTGGTCCATTCACTGATGCAGTTCAGACTAGAGGTCTGATTTCCTGCGGTGCAGGAATAAATTTCTAATTTAAACGTGGTAACAGTTAGTAACTGGTGTAATTTGATCGGGTGCAGGCGTCTAACAATAAAGCGCTCCCGAGTCCCGATGTTATTTGAGAACACCATATTTGTAATTTCCTCATTCTTTTTAAACATCGATACAGTCACTTGCCCCTTTCACACAGTGATACCGGTAAATATCTGGAAAATTTACGGAACGACTTTACCGGTATATTTAAAAAAGCGATGTTCACACAGGCGAGGATGTTACGGAATTTTTCCGGAAAAGAGCATTCACACATCCATTCCAAAATACCGGTAAATTCTGACATTATTCACCACTAATGAGCTTTAAACGGCTGCACTTGTATTTGTAAACATTTGACTACATTACAAAGTCTGTGGATGATCATTATTGTGAACAACTTCGATGAAAACATATGGAGGATCACTTTCGCATGTCGAGATGTTCATAATATGTGCGTGAGCTGGCGCTCACAGGCTGTTTACAAACAACAAACAAAGGGTAAACAAACAACGGCTTATCATAAGCATCTTATCGATGATTATATACACAGTTGGCATTAAGATGAACATATAAACGTTATCTGACTAACTTCTAGCAGCTAAATGCGTCTGGGAAAATATTCAAAGGCTTTTATTCTCATAAATTACGCGGACGTAAATGCGTCTGACTGTTCTGTTTGGCTAAAGCAGATGTCTCACGTCAGCACGTTTTAGACGTGCACGCGCTCTTTCCGGCAATCTTCCTTTTGCATTCACACAGCGCAGCATTCCGGCAAATTACCGCTAATGTTACAACTTCTCTTTACGGAAAATAGCCAGAACGAATTTACCGGTATTTTCAAAAAGGGCCTGTTCACACATACAGACCTTTCAGGAAAATTGCCGGTAATTTTCCGGAAAGGTTTGTATGTGTGAAAGGGGCTATAGACGCAAATGGAAAAAAAAAATGTGCGCAATGTGATAATAACTCAGTTTTACCCTTTCATCGCATCACAAAACTGACATTTAGCCTATAATCCTTGCACAACATACAGTTTTATCTGTTTTAGTACCCAATTTAAACGTGAGATTTTGGACACCATATCTATATTTAGCGGGAACGGTCAGGTCGAGCAGCCAATGAACAAAGGCTGAATATGTGGTGGGAGCGTTTAGTTTCAGAATAAAACCAGAATAAAATAGTGATGTCATGCATTCTGGAGGCGTGGCTTTGATGATTTTTAGGGTTGGAGAGACTTTCAGAGCTATTAGGCTAACATTAGTATTTTCTGAGCTTTCCTATTGTACCTTTTAATGTTTGTTTTATATGTGTCTGAGAACATTTATTCCAGATTTTTAATTGGTAATTTTGGTACTTGAAGCAGTTTTTTTATAGTTAGGTAAAATAACAAATGTTATCACTTGTTGTGAATGAAAATAAGGGTTGTTCTACCAAATGTTGATTTCTTTAAAAATAAAAACATTGTTATTTTAAAAATGAATATAAATAGAAATATCATAAGTAGTTTACATAATAAAAGACATTTAATTAAACATAACATCAATCAAATTATTTAAGATGGTCATGCATAATTTTTATATTTTTGTCTGCAGTTGTTGTTGTTGTTGTTGTTGTTAAAAACCTGTGACTTTCTCAAAATTTGAGTTGGCCTAGCTTGCAAATCTGCATTCCATCTACACTAATTATTATGGTGAATTGTCAATTTATGACCACAAAGTGCCAATAATTCTGTATTTCTTTGTTGTGTATGTTCTTCTGTGTTTTTTGTGTGGTCATTAAACAATATTAATGTTTTCCTTTTTCTCTTTGTCTATAGGTTGTTGCACTGTGGGAACATTTTCTCTGTTCGAGCTGTTTGAGAAACTTCTATTAGTTTTGCAGTTTGGATGTTGGGGGAGCATTTAATAACTTGTAATTTTTGTTTTTGTTATTTTAACTGGTGTAAATCTGTTCTTTTCACATTCCATGAATATTGTATGATGTTTAAATAAATCCAATTTGACATCTGAAACAGTTTTTTGTTTTGTTTTGTGATATGAGTCCCTATACACCCTGTAGTGTATGAATTATTATTATTATTATTATAATTTTATTTTTATTTTTTTGTCATCCAGAATTAATGTCTGATTGTCCTTCCCCCTCCACTATTTTAATACAAACATAAATAAATAAATAAATAAATAAATGTCAAAGCATAGATTTGAAGTGTGTGTGTTTTTTTTTTTCTGAAAGATTCAGTGTAAACTTCCACAATGGTTTATCAGTGGCAATATTACTTAAGTGTGCAACTGTTCCTCTTGAGAGGTTTTATTATTTTTTTTATGTTTTTTGTTTGATCGTTTTTAATGAAGTAATAAATTCCTGATTAAAGGGTGCTGCTGATTTCTTTAATAAGGTGTACCATATTTTGATTTTAACCCATTTACTTTAAAATGTCTGGTTTCTTTAAAATGCTTGATGAATAGTTGCCAACAGGTCTGGTGCTTTGTTACTTTTTATACGTCAAAAACTCATCTGTGAAACTTTTATCCATTTAGACCAAAGACGCCCAAACTAGGGCTCATGAGCCAAAGTTGGCCTATCATCAAATCTGAGAAGAGAGGGAGAATGATGGGGATGGTTTTGAGATTTTCACTTCAAATTTAATGTAGCCCTTTGTTTTAGTGTTAAAAGCTAAGTGAAATTAAATGTTTCAATTAAATGGCATAAATTAATGAGATGTTGTTTAAACATACGTACTGTCACCTGACAGTGCAGAGACTTTGGTGAGCAAATCAAGTCAAAGGCAGTTTCTGCTTGACTGGCGCATTCAGCATTGAAGTCTACTGTGTTATAAATGTGATTGTTTTTAGTGCAATACATGATCATTTAAATAAGTTACACTCCATTAATCATTTAAAGCAATGTTTTTCATTTTGAAATACATTAGGAAATGACCCATTGCAACTTATTGACGGTGGAAATATATTCACAGTTCTAGTAGCTTTACGACTTAAAAGACCTTTTTTTGAATATTTTTTGAATGCTTGAAAAACATTAACAACAAATTTCATCAATCAAACAACAACAATCAAGGGGTTTTCAGTCAATTAGTCCAGGATAAGTGCCAAGTCCTTGTTTATATTGCTTTTAAGCCTGTTGATCCCTTGAAAGAGTCAAAATACATTTTAATTTCCATTTTAAATTTAGAGAAAAAAAGGTTTTCACTTACAAAACTTGCTTTTGTAAATAAAAAAATTGTCCAACAACAACAAAAAAAGGTTTATAACAAAGTATTATTTTCCTTTTCGCATTCACGGAAACCAAAGATAACATTCTTAAATGTAAATTCAAAATATGCCTTCACATTTATAAAATCAAGAATATCACATCAAAATGTCCGTGAATGAGGACAATTACAAAATAAACGAACAGAAGTTTCAGGATTCACTAAGCAAAAAAAACAGATGGTCTTAATATCATTCTTAAGCTTTTTAAGATTACACTTTTCTGGATAGCATCTATGAATAAGTTAAAAGGTAACTTCTCTAATTTTGTTTGTTATAAGAAATTTGTGAGGTAATGATCAAACTTTCTTCCAGGAAATATTCACAAAACCATTCCAATATGACATTACATAAGACACAGTAACAGAATCTGCCTGAATCAGGGCTCTTATTTTCTTATTGCATTTTGATTACATAAATAAAGGCACTGTTTACCAATAAATGTTTTCCAACGGTCCACTGAATAAAAAAATAAACAAATAGGCTAACGTTTGCGCGCTCTTGCTAGTGTCGTCACGGGTTTAGCTGTTCAAGCGGAAGCAACTGAACCGATGATCTGAGTCGAGTGACGACCGTTGAGACGAAATGAACTACACATGACTTTTCTGAAGGTATGTATAAAGAAGCAATACAACTTACCATTACTTCTTATTTGTGTGTGTCGGTAATGGCGGAAGGATGTTTGGTTATTAACAAAATTTAGTCATTTAACTTTTGTTAATACTTTTGTTTAGTCATTAAGTCTTTTGTTTTCTCGTGATCGTGACTTAATTTTCTTGTTATGATGTGCTGTATAAATTGTTAGGCCTAACGGTAAAGTTATTTCCAAATGAATCCTGTTGAATCTTTAGGAAACAGATAACCAAAACTGTTATTGAACTGTTGATTAACTTGAGTTAATGTTTTAAAAAAAAGTCTCTTGTTTACATATATAAAAACGTTACCTGAATTATGTAGCCTATTGATGTACTATACATTATATATCATAATGTACAGTCTATATGTTTACAGTCACATTTATTAAAGAAATTTAGAGAATTATATTTATATCTAAAAAGTAGTCTGAAATTATTTTTGTCATCTAGCACTGGGGGAATTTCTGTGCTTTTTCAGTTAATCGAGTCAGTTTTCAGAGTATTCTAAGTGCACATTTTGGAATGTCCAGTGTCAACACACTAGTCACACAATATCTCTAAATAAATACAAAACAAAATTGTGAAATGGACCCAAATAGCTTTTAGGTGACTAACTAAAGTTGAATGTTTTACATGCTATACTATAAACTTTACCATTATGTTTTGTTTAAATGTGGACCTGTTAAACATCAGGCTGTTCATAATCTTCACTAAGTGATTTCAGATTTTGCCCTGAATTAATGCATCATGTGTAGCATGGGCCATGTTCTGATAGTATGATAACCTTGAATAAAAATATCATGGTTTAACGCTATTGTGATAACTGCTCTAAAAACAATATAATATTTTGTAACAGTAAACAGGTTTATCAGGCTAAATAATTAAAATAAATCATTGACTTCTGCCTTACCGTCATTAGTTTCAAAAGCACAAATTCCATTACGGCACATTAAAAAAAGCACTTTAAAAAATGCTATATACTGTACCTTAGGAATAGTGTGACTACCCCAGGATTCCAGTGATTGGGTGCCTGCTTGCACACCACTTGGTTCAAGCATATAAATATAGTGTTGTGCTAGCTTCTGGAGGACAACAGTGTGGCCACTTAGAAGTCCTCATGTGAAGGACCATCTCTTTCATTCTGTAAACTTATGGTTTACTTTTGCATTATGTATATCATGTATAGTTAAAGTTAGTTGTGATCATATCGTAAGTTCTTTGGCTTCTTTATTTATCCCTAGACATTTGTTTGTGGCTTGATTTGTTGTTCTATTAGTTCTATAATAAGTAAGTTGCATGTAGATCCTTTTGTTGTCTGAGCTCTTTTATGTTGTGACTCAAACAAAGGGGTCGTAACAACGGTATATGACAAAACAATTTAGCGGCTTTAAAACCTTGACTTTTCCAAACCGTGGTTAACCTTGAAATTAGTTATCCTCTCATACCTAATCATGTGTGATGTAGAAATTCCCTCTTTAAAAAAAAGAAAAGAAAGAAAGAAACAGGCACAAGAACACTGAGATTCATATCTTTTATTTTTTTTCTGGCATGTAAAGTACAAATAATTAAACAATTCCATGAAAAAGTCCTCAAGCGTCTTCAGCTGAAATCCCAGTAATAAATATCCTAAACTAAACTGAAAGGTTTATTTTTTTCCCCTTTGTTATGTGTTTGTTCTTTTGTTCAGGTTTGGAAGTATGAGATTTTTTTTTATTTGTGACACACAGACACTGAGATCAGGAGTTCTGCTTTTGATCGTATATTTTTTCCGCTGTTATTATTGTTGTTTGTTTTGTTCTGTTATTGTTCTGTTATTCCTGGTAAAATAGTTTCAGAAGAACGTTGCTAAGTAACTCTGTGTCCCTCCTAAATTAACTGACACAAAATACAACTGGTTGAGAAACAGAGTGACCACTGACCCCTTTATCTAGCTCAGCGCCTCGCCTGTCCCATCTCCCCGCTGTGCTTTCGCCTGCTAACCGTAGAGCTAGAGCCCCCCGCTGACTGTTTTATTTTTGATGGCAGCGGGACGAGGGGTGTTTGGCGAGAAGCGCTGAGCCTAAGGCCTGGCTGTGGGTCCGTAAACCGGACCGTGCCTCGGCTAATCCCCCCTACCCCGGGCCTCGCCCCGGGCCCTAACTTACTATGGGGTTCTGAACGTGGCTGGAAAAACAAGACTGTGATTAGATTAAATAATCAAAAGGTTTTCATTTAACAAGACAAACAAAACACAGGCATTAAAGGCATAACATCTAGCACACAGCATGTATGTTTATACACTTCAATTAGTTTAATATAGCAGTGCATTCTTTGCCTATGGAGAACTTTTCCAAATTGTAATTCTAAAGCAGTTTTTTTTTTTTTTTTGTTCGTTTTTTTATTTTATTTTTTTTACTCTATTTGTTCCCTTTAAAGAAAAAACAAAAAAGGTGTAACCACATTTTGGCAAAATGAAAGTATTTAAACTTGCAAATAGAATGAAAGAAACCATAAATATACACAAAACATACTTTCATACGAGGCAATAATAATAATAATCATAATAATAATGATAATAAATAGTTTTTAAGTTAACAATAAGTTAAAACTACAAGCTTAGTCGCCCAAATAATACAAGTTCATTGGCGCTATATTGAAATTTTTTTCTTTTTTTCACTTTAAATCATTTATGTTGCAACGAAAGCTACCACAGACTTTTACAAACACAATTAAACACGTTTTTGATTGAAAGGAAATAACTCTAACTAATTCTAAAACCTGCATACACTGTAAGAACAGCAACTAAGTATAAATAATGGAAACAAATATAAGAAACCGTACCCAATAAAAGGAACCAAAAGGAAATCTTCGACCCACGTGTCCTCTATGGCAACATCAACAACACAAATACGCTAAGTTAACATGTGATCCTGATATGTAAAGTAAATCAATAAATTACAGGAAGAAATGATATTCTGAAATCAACATGGGCTAAAACCGATGATATTTTAGACAGTATTCCTTTCACGGTCTTTTAGAATTGCTCTTTTTCGCTACCATAGACGGCTGTTTGTTTTAGCTTGCATGGTCAGAGCACTAATAAGGGGGCGGAGGAAGGGATAATGGACATTTTTAGAGACCAGAGCTCTTGGTGCTTGCTTGATTCTTCTACTGAATCTGTTAGTTTTAACACTTTTTTTTGTTTGTTGTTGTTTAGTTTTTTTTTTTTTGTCGTTTTTTGCCATTTTGTCATTGTTCATTACGTTTGATCCTTTCACTATTCTGCAAACCATTTCAGTATGATGTTTAATTTCTTTTTTAAAAAATATATATATCTTTTGTTCTCAGTCAATATAAAAACGAAGCACATTGCACTTACTGTTCCATAGGAAAGTTTTTTGTCTTTTTCTTTTAATGATTATTATTGTAGTTGCTCAAGCGGTGCAGTATGTTTGTTTCCTGGCATTGTCCTTGGCTCTCTGAGGGAATGAGGGAAGTGGTGTAGCTAAAGATTTCTATTCAGTCGCCAGGCGCACTACTAGTTTGCCCTGGTAACTTTTATCCATGCCGTCAACCATTTTATCTGTATGTTTATGATTCTCGTCCCCTCTAGGGCACACCACTGATGAATTCCAGAATGAGTTGAGTTAGTGAAAGAAAAGGTAATGTGGCGTAAGCTGAGAGGGGTTAGGTCACAGTTTTGATACGATCATGAGAATGGAGGGCTTAGAGACACTTTGCTTTGATGTGTGTGTGTGTGTGTGTGTGTGTGTGTGTGTGTGTGTGTGTGTGTGTGTGTGTGTGTGTGTATGTGTTTCATCAGTGACAAAGCTAAGATTCCTTGGTTGGTTAGTGCTTGTGCAAAGGAGCAAAATCAGGTGTCAATGATATGAGCGTGGAATACATAAGATATGTGGAGCGTAAATTAAACAAAAAAAAAACAAAACAGTAGAATGATAGACAATTGCCTTGTTTGATGACATACTGGCGAATAAAATTCACTATGGATTTTTGATTACATTTATAAGTGCAGCTACATAGTATTATGTCAATTATTCAACGTTTTTGGTGCACTGAACATGCTGAAGCGTTAAGGTGATTCATCTTTTGGCCGATGTGAGGTGAAATGCTCTGGGTGTTTCGCCATTAAGAGCTTCACTGCACCGTCATTGAAGCAACGCTTGATTTTTCACTTTAGAGAAACCGTCTTATCTACTTTTTTTGTTGTTCCTGCGTAATGCGTACATGTATCCGTCTGCTGATCCTTTTTTGAACGTTTCGTATGTTTCTCTTTTTTTTTTTTTTTTTTTTTTGAAAATGAAATGGTTTCACTGCATGTAAGTCTTAGTCCCCAACCCTCCTATCCCCTCCCTACCACCGCAGACTGGCCCTCTCTCCCCAAAGTTGAAAACTCTGAAAATAAAAGCCATGCGGTGTGTCCAAAGATTTCCACAATTTAAGAATCTGTAAAAATGTTGCACAAGGTCTTGTTTTTTTTTTCTCGTAGATATAAAAATATATTAATCTCTAATGTAATCCTTTTCAAAGAGATCATTGTCCTCTTTGGCTAACACAGCGTTATTTAGAAAAGCAAAATGTCACTTGATTTGAACACACATTTACATCTCTCATTTCTTTTCTTCATATAACGTGAAGGTTTGCGATTTTACAGCAATGTCTCTCCCCATGTAACAGTTTAGTTTTAATCACAGGGCTGTGGATGGCTTGGGCATTGTCGTTACTATATCTAGGGAATATTTCATTTATGACATAACAAAAAGGAATCATTTGTAGCTCAATTGGCTGCGACTTGCTTGGAAGGGCCTTGAGGACTTAAAGGACTCGATATGTAGCTGTTTAGATATGCAGGGGCTGCTAAAACCGATTTGGGAAAAGCGAATTACAACGCAATTCTGGAGGTTATGAAGAGCAAGGGTGACAAATCCAAGAGGCCCCTGACCTCCATAAAGCACTCACTCTCTTTAACGCGAACATCTCAAAGAGCTGACACACAGCATTTCCCACTCACAGGCCATTTAAACCTGTTTAGAAGAAGCCCTGGAGATTATGGTTGGCCTTCATAATTGGTTTGAAAGACTTTCAGAAGAATTCCAAATGCATTCCTTCGCAATGGGTAAACTGCCCCTAGTTACACAGATAACTGCATGTGGTGGAATCGATTCTAAATTCTACCTCTAAAACTCAGAGTGGAAAGATACAAGAAGATTCTAGGTCGCCATGTTTTGCCCTCCACTGGAGGTACGTGTTTGCGTATGTGCATGCATGCGTGCGTGAGTGTCTCTGTGTTGAAATTTGTCTTTCAGTGTGCTGAGGTGATTGTGATGACCCCCTGGTAACCTCTCAATTTTGTGACTACCATTTGCATGGTTTGTTAGGTTGGACTTCAAGTAAGGTGTGTGTGTGTGTGGCGCCGTAAGGCAAGGTTGCAACCTAATTTAGAGCCAGGAATCCGTAATCAAAGTTCTAGAAAAATGCGTACATATTTGGCTATTATAACCACCTTAAATGTTGAATATATAGTTATATAATATATATATATAAGAGAACACTGTTTTTAATCATTTGTCTCTAAAAAAAATCACTGATTCAAAATGCCCAAGTGTAAAAAAGTGACTACATCCTCTGGAGCCAGACAGGAGAGTTACTGGGGCAAGATTTCGGGATAAATTGCACATATTTGATTTAACTTTTTTCTTTTTCGTTGACCAGTTCTCGTACTTTGCCTGAATTAAATTAAATCTCTGCAGACATTCTCCGTCACATTCATTAGACTGTCCCTCCTTTTGGATTTCCCCATTCCCGCCTCACACTTCTGCTAATTCAATACAGGCAAACTGTGGGAAGGACTAGCATGTTGTGTAGAGAGAAAAGAAAAAACGACTCTACTTGTGTATTTTTGTTCAAAACAACTAAATGTGTGTGTGTGTGTGTGTGTGTGTGTGTGTGTGTCGAATGTATGTTAGAGAGAGACTCAGTCCAGGCCCATGTAGAGTGAATGTACAGGGAGCTCAGTAGCTCCCCCTGCATGTTAAAGAGCAATAGTGACTAGGCCTTCCTTCAAGCCTTGTGCTGCTTGCTGGTCTTGAACGAGACCTGCAGCACGCGGTCGCCCAGGCGGTAGCCATTCAGACTGGCGATAGCCATGGCTGCCTCGTCGTAGTTGGTCATGGTGACGAAGCCAAAGCCCTTACATTTGTTGGTGGTGAAGTCACGGATGACCTTGACGTTTGTGACGGCGCCAAAAGGCCCGAAGAGCTGCCACAGGACACTTTCGTCAGCTTCCGGGGACAGGTTGTAGACGAAGATGCACCAGCCGGCTCCAGTGGGCCCGGTCAGGTTGACCCCGGCAAGACTAGTCATGCTGTCAATGGTTATGGGGGAGAATCTGGGGAGGACAGAAAGAGAGCTACCATGGGTGTCATTCTGAAGTTCGTTCATCATCATGTGTGTTTCTGCCATTTTTTGTCGTACCGGAAACACTCAATCTCCACAGCCTCCACGAGCAACTATCATATCAACTAGTCATGAGTAGGGCCAGACAGAATCTGAGGACATTTTTTTGCTATTTCTGCGAAGAATTTTGTAAAAAATCTGCGGATTTATGCGGAATGATTTTAGGAGTATCATAACCAAAACCTTAATATATGAAATAAAAGAAAGAATAGCTTTTTAACTTTTATTTATTGTTGACAATGCAAATCCAAATCCACTTATTTGGTAAACAAAGCAAGTCTCTCATATAACGTATCTGCTAAAAGACAGAAAGTATTACTGTACAAAAAGTATTGTAAATAAATCATGTGAAAATGTATTATTATTATCATTATTATTATATCATAGTAATATAAGTAAAATTAATTTAAAAACTTAATAGCTATAAATTTGCACACATTTACATGAGTAAATACATAGACTCAATAATAGACAAAAAAACTGCGAATTTCTGCGCATGCAGATTCCGTGTGGGCCTAGTCATGACCAATCAAACTAGCCAGATTACCAGTTAAAAATAGAGGCCACAGAATTCACAATGTCCAACAAAATCAAGATATTTAGCAAAACAGAAACCTAGAGAGGAATGAAGGCAAATCAACAGAAAATTGGAACAAACATAGGAGACGCAAAACGGAATCTTGAATGTCCATGCTGGTGGAAAAAAAGGACATTAAAACAACCAAAACTGAAAAAAAATAATGTTAGTTCAATACAGAAATACAAAATCATTTCAATCAAGGAATCAACCAAAAGAACAAAAAGGTTCAACAAAGCCATGCCAGAATGCCTGCTGTGATATCAGCTACGTCAATCTAGTCTACTGAAAGGATGTTTGCTCAAATCAAATTGCTAACTTAAATGCTTTAGTCAGCAGGTGGTATTCCGGGCACTTTGTTTGAGCTTATTAAGGCATGGATGCTTTTGAAAGTTGAAAGGACACCTTTTTTTTTTTTTTTTTTAAGAAATTACCTCTTGACTCCGTAGCTGGCGTTTAGTAAATTGTCGAGTCTGCAATGCAAGAGGGAGAGTGACGGAGGTGAAGATATTAGTTGCAAGATCCAACAACCAGAGCAAAGCGTTTTCATGCAGCCACTTCAACCAGCAGGGGGAGCTCCTTACTGGGCAGCGCATCCTCCAATCAGCAGTGACGCAGTGCTTACAGGGCCCTCAGGCGATGGATCTGGAGTACTGCGCACATGTTTGTACTGCGATAAATGCTTCTAAATGCATCTGTGCCAAGACTGATTCACACACACTGTGTTTTATTTCTAAGCCGGTCAGTTGTTTTAAGAATTTACGCACTGCCTCAAACAGAAGCACTGTGATTTGTGGAGATCCCCCTGATGGCGTGAGTGTGCTGCAGTTTAAAGGAAAGCCGGCAGGATAGGTAGGGTGTGGTCGCGGTGTTGTGTGCATGGCTGCAGTACCTGAAGCGCTGGGTCTGGTGGTGCAGAGGGCCAGTGTAGCGGCGAGCGGCTGTCTGGTAGAGCTGGGTCAGCAGAGCCTGTCCTGTCTTCTGACTGGGGTTGTTGGCGAACTTTACGGTGATGGGCTCAGCTGCTCCTAGTGGCTTCTGACCGTTCAGGCCCTTGATGGCCTCCTCTGCTTCGTTCCGTTTGTCGAACCGAATGAAACCTACCCCGCGCGATATACCTGCTCCGGACAGAAAGCGACGCAATGTTAGCACCGTAAATCAAATTACCGCCAGGCAAATGAGTTTTATGGTTACCATTTTATAATGCTCTATGAACTTAATATTTTTTATAAATTAAAGGAGATTGAACATAATCCCATTCAGTTGTCCCAAATAAGCTCAAGAAATGTGTTGATTGAACTCATTTTAAATAAGTAGTTAGCCTCTTTAATATTTTCCAAATGATGTTTAACAGTGCAAGGACATTTTCACAGTATGTCTGATGATATTTTTTTTTCTTCTGGAAAAAGTCTTATTTGTTTTATTTCAGCTAGAAATAATTTTTTACATTTTTAATTTTTTAAAAACCATTTTAAGGTCAAATTAATTAGCCTCCTTAAGCTATATTTTTTTCGATAGTCTACAGAACAAACCATCTTTATACAATTACCCTAACTTAACCTAATTAACCTAGTTAAGCCTTTAAATGTCACTTTAAGATGTGTCTTGAAAATATCTAGTAAAATATTATTGTCATCATGACAAAAATGAAATATTAAAAATTTGTTATTACAACTATTATGTTTAGAAATGTGTTGAAAAAATTTTTCTCTCTGTTAAAGAGAAATTGGGAAAACAAATAAACCGTGGGGGTAATAATTCAGGGAGGCTAATAATTCTGACTTCAACTGTGTGTATATATATATATATATATATATATATATATATATAAATAGTTAAAGTCAGAATTATAAGGCCCCCTGTTTTTTTTTTACTCCTTAAAGGTACATTTAAAGGCTTTACTAGGTTAATCACGTTAACTAGGCTGGTTAGGGTAATTAGGCATTATTGTATAATGATGGTTTGTTCTGTAGACTGTCAGAAAAAAAAATAGCTCAAAGGGGCTAATAATTTAGTCCCTAAAATGTTTTTAAAAATTAAAAACTGGTTTTATTGTAGCCAAAATAAAACAAATAAGACTTTCTCCAGAAGAAAAAATATAATCAGACATACTGTGAAAATTTCCCTGCTCTGTCAAATATCATTTGGGAAATATTTAAAAAAGAAGAAAATTTTTGACTTCAGACTTTAACTATATATATATATATATATATATATATATATTTATTTATATATATATATATATATATATATATATATATATATATATATATATATATAAAGATCTTAGATGCAAAAACCTCTAAATGCCGCTTGATAATTTCTTCTAAAATTAGCATTTTTCTCTAACTCTTGTGTGTAGGTTCAGAAATATCACTTTTATAGTAATGAATGAGTGTTTTCCATTGCATAAAAGTTAAATAACTGAACATAAACATGAGAGGCTGAGAAAAATGCTCATTTTAGGAAATGTTTTTAGATGGCATTTAGAGGTTTTAGCATCTGAGCTCTTCATATATAAATTGTAATATTGTATATTGTTTACTAAAAACACAAAAATATTTTTGTTACTTAAAAATAATAATAAACGATTACAGAATGAAAAAATGGTATCCATTTTGTGTAATCTAGTGTGCTAAAATTTAAAATATAGAAACAAGATTTATTAAATACATATTTTTACTAAAATCATAAAAATATTTGTGTTACTTAATAAATAAACATTAACAGAATAAAAAAATATTATTCATTTTGTGTAATCTAATGTGCTAAATAAAAAATATTGAAACAATATTTATTAAATATATAATTAAAATGAAAAATATACAAGTAATTTCTAATTCAAAATAAAATAAATAATTATATTATCTTAATGATCCTTAAACAACACTGCCAAAAATGTGCATTAAAATATAAACAGGATCAATTTCATTTCACATTAACTGTGAAGCATGTATCCTTTTTTTTCTCTTTATTTTCTGGCGTCACATCCAGAGCTTTAATTAGCTTTTTAATCCTCCCCCAGGGTGCGTACGCTGTTAGTGGAAGTGAGGTAACGTTTACCTGTGACCTGGTCTACCAGGATGCGTGAGGTGATGATCCTTCCATACTGGGAAAACAACTGCTCCATGTCTTTCTGACTCATGGTTTTGGGCAGGCCGCTCACATACAGGTTGGCATCGCGGATGGAAGCTGAGCTGGGCCTGGCGTAAGACACCTAACATAATTCACACACAGCAAAAAAAACACAAGGAGCTCCGGTTAGGGTTTCTTTTAATAGAAATATTAAGAAGCATGCATCAAGACAGCTGTGACAGTCTTAAAACTCCTGGCACTGCAAACTTTCAAGTGTAGTCGAAGCGAATGTGTCACAGCACTGCCGCGCTCAAAGCCAAGACATCCGCCCACTCTCTCTCATCCCTCCTTCCTTGAAAATTCACGTCTTTCACACGCACTTCACTCCAAACCAAACCCGCTTCCCTTATTAAATGCTCCTTCAGCTTTACTGTGCTCCTGACAGCAGAAACACGAGCCCACTCTCGCATTCACACTTCCACACCCTCTGCATTGATTTGAGATCAGCTCCCTCGGGGAGTCATGAGGAGCATTTGATATCTTGGGCTGGTATTCTAGCCGCCCATTTTATACAAGATAGCAGTGTTTGGAACCCGTTCCACTTCGAGATGCGTCATGTAATATAAAGTCCAATTAGGCAGTTGTTTCGACGTTCAAATATTCATCTCATTTTTATATTCCCATCTACAGCAACAAAAAATTCCCCAGTCAAGCCGGTATTTGAGAAGAGAACAGATTTTTGCTCATAAAATATGTATATTTATGAGTTTACTCTTGACTTTGATTGATGGAGTCAGTTTGTGCGCATGTGGTTTTTGGAGATAAAGAGATTGGCCCCCTCCTTCTCTTCTCCGTCTCTTTCTTTTGTCTTCTCTCTCAAGGGGAAACTGCTCCTCTGGCAACCGACGAACCAAGTAAACAGATTACAAGATGTCCAGCGTCCCTGACAACTCCTCCATACACAGCCTCACAAAAAAAGCCATGAATATAAAAAAGACGAAGTGACAGCAAATCAAATAAAAAGCACAATAGTGTGCAATAATGTTGTTGTACAATGTTTCTGTTCAAGAATATTACCCATACAGTGCTCAGCATAACTGAGTACACGCCATTTTGAAAATGATCCACTTAATTTCTTATTAATTATCCACTTCTCAGTGAATATAGGCAATGTATTTTTGTGCATTTAAACAAAACAAATGTATTAAACATATATTTATTAAAATAATATTTTAGTTACCAAACATACTTAGAAACTGAAAAAATAATACAATAAAATTTTAGGCAAAATACTGCAAAAAAATAAAACCTAAAAAATTTCAACAAAATTTTTACAATTTTTTGCTTCTTTTAATTTTTCCTCTTTTTTTAAATTTGTATTTAATATTTTGCTCTAATATTTTTGTAGTTTTGGACCGTTATCGTAAGTTATTTTGTTAGATAAGCTCCAGTACTGACTAATCTAATGTATATGCACAAGTCTAATATTGTATAGTTTCCTATTAAAAACATGAATTTAAAAGATAGATTTGTGAGAGGTGTATGTATATTTGCTGAGCACATATAAGTCTTGTTTATACAAGGACATGTCACCTAAATTAGTCTTGTGCTCTTTTTGTGTTTATTTCTACTGTGTAGTTTTTATTTATAACATGGATATACATTTGTTTATTAATATTGCCAAATATAGAAGTCAGAATCTTATATATACGCAACTGTATAAATATATATATATATATATATATATATATATATATATATTTTTTTTTTTTTTTTTTTTCAATTGTCTATCTTTTCTTGATGTAAATGTAATCATTCTTTTTCATAATATATATATATATATATATATATATATATATATATATATATATATATATATATATATATATATATATATATATATATATATATATATATATATATATATATATATGTATGTATATTTTTTGTAAATATAGCCAGATTTTATCTTTTTATCCTACTGTTTTTTAACACTGTCTTTATAGATTTTATTAGCTTTTAACATGTACAACAGAAATCAAAACCAAACATACATACATAATAATAATAATTTTGCATTATAATTTTATATTGTACAAAATAATTATAATATAATAATTATAATATTTGATACAAATGTATTAATTATTTTTCATTAAAAAACATAATATATTACAATATATATTATTTTTCTAAATATAGTTTTTTTATCTTACTATGTTTTTAACACTGTCTTTCTTGATTTTAGTAGCTTTTAACATAAACAACAATAATTAAAACCAAACATAATAATAATAATAATAATAATAATAATAATAAACGAAAAATAATAATACAAAAAATGATCATTAAAAAACAAAAAGCATATAAGTAAATGCATGTACTTACACATCATATACATCATACAACAACAACAACAACAACAACAACGATATAACAATAGCAAGTGACACAGAGTCATACAGAGATAAAATTTGTATCAACTTCCTTCAAGAAACTTACAAGGGATTCCAAATTTTGAAAAACTTTTCAGGTTTTCTCTTTACTATATAAGTAAATTTTTCTAAAGCCAATTTTTTTTTTTTTTTTCAAATTGCAGGCTTTCTATAATTTTGCAAAAAAATAGCTATTATAAGTTTTGCATGTAAAAAACAGAACTAGTAAAAGTGCTTGTAATAAGAAAAATAATTAGATTGCACAGTTTTGGACATTTGGGTATACCCTGTTTTAATGCTATGGATAAAAGTTTAGAAATTTCTCCCAAAAATGTTCAACCAAAGGACTATCTTACTATCTTTTACTTGCTTTTAATATGTATTGTTTATTTAGAATTTAACTTGATATTGCGCAATAAATTATAGCTTATTGACTAATACAGTGTATTTCAGCTATAACATGTTGCTAATCCATTTATAATACAATCTAATTTCTAATATAATAATCTACAATGTCACTTTTTATTGCATAATACAGTAAAACATGCAATTATATATATATATATATATATATATATATATATATATATATATATATATATATATATATATATATATATATAATGTATTTATTTATTTATTTATTTATTTTTTTTAACCAGGGCTCCTTTTCAGAGCTTATTTACTATTTAATGTTTTCTCTCTATAACCTTTATCTTCAATGGTTGGTTTTAGAACAAAGCGTTTGATTTAAATTTTAAACACATGGGTGGGTATATTTTAATCTGTGACCTTTATGTATAAAGTTTTAGCCAAAAAAGTTAACCAAGCAAACTGTTTTTTATTTATTTATTTTATTTTTTTTTATCATATCCAGGATTCCATTTTAATGTGCTCCAAGCCATTGCATGGCTCTTAATCTTGTTGGTGCATGTTTCGCCATCAGACCTTGGCATAATGATGTGTTTTTCCACCATATGCGTGTTTGCGTCTTGCAGGCCAGTATGACTAAGCAGCGGTATTATTGAGGTAGGGGTGTAATTGTGCAGCGTGTGGGTGACTGAGTGAGTGTACAGCAGAGACTGGAGCAGGGGGATGTATTGGAGGGATAGAATGCTGCCCCATAATTAACCCTCTCTCTGTCTCTCCCACAGTACAGATGGTGCCTGCAGCCCATATGGCCCCTAATCCTGTCATTGGCATTCGGCTCCCTCCTAGCCTTTGCTCCTGCGCCCCCACTCCCTCCCTCCCATCCTTGCTTTCGACTCTCTACCTTTCTAACAATACCATATTGACATGGAAAATGTGACATTTGCCCAGCTTAAGGATTCAAGGGTAGTGGGCACACGGAAGCTGAATGTCAGATAACAGCAACAAAGCTTGGTGAATGCACTGAACAAACAAGGTGATTGGGACAATGGTTGTTTAAATAACTATGCCAATAACATTCGCTTACAGTTGTTATTCGCCAAAGACCGTAGGTGTCTTAGGAATCCATATTGCTTGTATATGAGCGAGTGCAAACACAAATCTAGAAAAACTGGTGATCCCGTTCTAGGATTTGTCATGATCTTTGATGTGCGGTGATCAGGTGGAGGATAAAATCCGACTGTTTAATCTCTCTTTTACAGAAGCCCAAGCAGACCTTTCCCCACCCTGAAGCCCATCAGAATTGGGGACAAAGAAGGCCCTAATTAGCCAAGATTGGAGGCAGATGGGGCTCTCTGCGCTGACCTCCAAGCTTCACATTGCCTCTCCCTAATTACATTTCCATCACAATCACCTCAGCATACAACCCGTTGCTTTCTGACCTCCACTTTCTGCTTTCTTTTGCTGCTTTTGTCTCCACCGCTGAGATTCCTCCCCTTCTCCACCCTCTTCTCCTCCCCTCCTGCTGTCATGTCTGTCTTGGGCTCTGCTTTATTCCCTACTTCCTCTCCATCGAGTGATTGAAGATCTCTTACCTTGATTGTTTTGGTCTGCAGTTTGAGACCGTTGAGCGTGTTGATAGCCTTGTCGGCGTCGTTGGGATCCACATAGTTTACAAAGCCATATCCCAAGCTCTGGCCTGCGAAAACATTGAGAATGTGCTCAATAATGTAGATTTAATTCAAATATGCTCAACGCAATCTAAACTTGGGTTACCTGTGATCTTGTCTCTGACCAATTTGCAGGACTCGATTTCCCCGATGCTGCCAAAGAGGCTCTTGAACTCTTCCTGGGTCATGTTCTGAGGCAGGTAGTTGACGATCAGGTTAGTTTTGCTGTCATCTGTGGCGCCGTTAGTGCTAATGACAGGGCCGTTAGGCAGGCTGGTTCCGCTCGGACCATTGGACACCTGAGTTTCCATGGTGCTAATTATCTGCAGGTGGAAAATATAACAGGTTGGGTGAGGAACCATAATTTGAGGGGTGTAATGCTTGGCATTCTCGCTGAGAGGTTAAAAATCAATGCGTCTGAGAGGGATAGGGCCTGAGGAGGACAATATCCCACCCTTCCTCCTCCTCTGACCTCCCTCACTTCAGCTCTCTCCATCAGCCCCTGGCCCTGCAGATGTCACAGTCCTTTCACTCATTCCCAACCCCCCCTTTACGCTGTCCAGGGTCAAACTGTGTTACGTCACTCGCCGCTGATGACAAAGGGAGGACGAAAAAGCATAGCTAGCATAACTAAACCTTGTTTATGTGAAAAGTGTGTGCGTTTGTGTCTGGGTTTTCGGTTCATCCGTGTTGCTGTGGAGCACAGCGTGATGCTTAATTTGGCCTACAGGGGATTTTCAAAGAACAGATGTATGCAGGTTGTAGATGCTACTTTCAGTTTTTAACGGTCGCTTTCTGTCACAATGCACAAGTTCTCAGAGCAAGCACTCTGCATCGTACCAGAAGGGATTTGCCAATTTTATCTATGTTGATTTATTTTTTTCGATGTTTTCCCAGGGCTGGTAACTATCCAGAATGTACAAATTGGCATGTGTAGTAATATATGTTCACATATTAGTCATCTTTAGCTGACTGAAAGCACTCTTTCCCCAGAACGGCCCCTAGGGTGGAACAGGGTGTCTCACCGACTTAATTAACAATGCATTCATGATCTTTCTGTTGGATCCCCACAATCAACAGGCAGAATCATATACGCCACAAGTGTCCCTACTAGTTTTTGGTGATTAAAATGATTTCTAGGAATTCATGCAGCAATGCAATTGGAGATAGCAGAATTGTCTGATATCTAATCAAACTGAACAATCAGTAGCTCAAACAGGTAGATCTGCACTAGTGTGGGTAGGCTGTTCTTTTGTTCTCCCTTCACTATCGCCTCTTGCTCTCATCTCGCTGTAACGCTGTGTCTCTTCAGTGGAATGATTTATTCTTGCCTTGAGCCTTACCTCTAACCAGGTTGCCCAGGTAACAGCAGTCTGACGACTCTTGCTATTGGCTTGCTTCTTGACTTTTAGCAAGCCTCACATGTATGTGCGCACGTTGTATGAGTGCATGTTAGCTTTTTTTTAATAAAATAAGCTTTCGGGGCAACCGGAATTTATATCTCAGGCAAATTGACACTGACAAGGAGAAAGCTCAGAGAGGCAAGTTATTAAAGCAGTACAAACATGGATCTGACATTTCACTGTCACCCAAGCAAAAGGGTGTTTGTTTGATCAATCAAATGGCCATGGCACCATTTGCTTTTTCCGTTGGCAGTAGCCCTAATATATCCTGGGATATATCTCAAGTTCAGAATTTCAACCTCAAACAGCAGAGCTGTTGACACACAGAGAGCGAGTCTTGACACAAAGTGACAAGATCGTGGCGAATGTGATTCGTGAACTGAAGTAAACCTCCCCATGGCAAGTCAGCCATCCACAGCGACGAATGTAGTGAGTTACACAACACACAGGCTCTTCGGCCACACAGACTGACACGTACACTATCTTACAGCCCAGATACTGGCGCCAGCACAGCAGAGGTAGAGGTGGAAGAGCACTTCATCCCAAAATACATAACTCGCCGAGACAGGCGAGAGACTGCTTATAGTGCTGGAGTTCCTTCTACTGAGCCTGAATTATCGCTATTAAAAATAGGACTTACGAAACAAGAAACGTGGCCACTGAGCGGGCTTTGACGTTCCTGCCCCAGCCTGTACTTTGCTATTTTTGAGCGACTTCTCCCTCAATATTTAATGCAGTGCATCAGCATCGCCTACACAAGGACCCAGACTCGCACGCAAACAACTCATAAGCAAAACCTATTACCTTCCCACCAGCGCGCTGATAAAGATAAATGACTGCACCGATTCCTTTTAGTGAGTCTGTAATTAGAGTCGGCTGAAATTACCATCAAGCCTTGTCAGAGGGAGGAGAAAATTTAAGTTCACTTTTTTAGAAAAATGTTCTGTTGAATGACACAAATGGAAGAAAAACCAGCTGCTACATAAAAATGAATTTAGAACAATGCACTTATCGTAAATTAACATACAATTTCACTATTTGTAATCATAAACATGTCAGCAAAAGCTCATTTAAAATGTATTAATTCATTTCATTTTCAGCTTAGTCCCTTTATTAATCAGCGGTCACCACAGTGAAATGAACCGCCAACTTATCCAGCATATGTTTTACGAAGCGGATGCTCTTCCAGTCAAACCCAACACTGGGAAACACCCATGCACACTTACATTCACACACATACACTAGGGCCAATTTAGTTTATTCAATTTCAATTCAATTTAAACTCCACACAGAAATGCCAACTGACCCAGCCAGAGCTCGAACCAGCGACCTTCTTGCTGTAAGGTGATCGCGCTACCCTACCCACAACGCCACCGTGATTCCCCCTAATTTAAAATAATAATAATAAAATAAGCAGAGGCCTGAAAGCAGCATGAGATAAAGTAATTTGACTGTGAGGACGCTCACGTCACTTCCTTAATGCCCCTGTGCAGGCAGCGAGGAAGCCATTTTCTTAAAATAAACACATCTTGCTGAAGATCCGCTGAGGTAAACACATAAAGCATATGGCTGATCTAATCTGTAGCTCTACGCAACATGTCAACATTAATTTTGAGACTGCGAGGATAGCGCTTCCCAGCATGATCCATTATTGGCTGTGGGAAATGAATGGGTGTTCGTGACATTTCTGACGCCTAATGCAGATCTTAATTTTATCATTCGTAATTCATAAATGTACATGTCTGGACGGGCCTCCTGACTGAAATGTGAATGCCGGCTTGTCAATAGGCCGTTTCGGTAACAGATTACAGGATTATCTTAAACAAAAGGCATTAGCCACACTCTCACTGCAGCTTAAGGGATCACAGTGGCAGCTGTAAAACAACAGGACACAAGTCAAAACTGAACGGATAAACCCTTCTTTTTTGTTGGCTTATTTTTTTTTTAATTGGTGAATTTGGCTAATTTCGGTCGTGCAAATAAATATAAGATCATTGATTTATCACGCGAATAAATATTTATGTATTCTCAAAAGGAAAGCGTTACTTTATGTATATATTTATATATGTATAAAAAATCACGTGATTATATTTTTAATCATGAACGCCATCAAACGGAGAGAAATGGCTCAAGTAGTTGCTATTCCGCTATTCCTCTTTGGTCGCTCTCCAGAGTGCTGAATTCGGGAGTGGCTCACCATGAACGACTACATTCAAAATATCCTTGGCGCCGCGGGCATATTTATTTCTTTTCAAGTGGACATTAAGCTCTTGATGTCGTCTTTACAAATAAACACGTTTGCGAATCGTTTAAAATCGTTATCCTCTCGTCCTTTGATTGGAGTGCGCGTGTGCTTGTTGGGCATTCACAAATCCGAGCTGCTTTTTGCTGAATAAACGTATTGACACTAGCGAACAAAAGAGCCACCCGTTCCTCCTCTACAGAGACCATGGCAGCACTATGAATATTAATGTAAACAGTAGCGCTTTGTGTTGAGGCCAGAGGCTGCGGGACTCTCCGGGAACAATGAACATTGCAACTGCCTTCACTCTTATTTCGCAAGACTATTTAATAATAATAATAATAATAAAAATAATGATAATTATAATAATAGTAATAGCCTAATTAATAAAAACGTAAAAATATATTGCATATATTTTAATTACAATGTCATCAAATAATGTCATCTTTCATTTGTATGTAAAATATTATAATATTATTCTATAATTAACTGATTATTGTTAAATCAATAGTCTTTAAATCATTGTAATTTGCATTGTTTTGTTTTATGACCTGTAATAATTAATGATATTTTGAATAAAGGGAAAAAACAAGGCCTTGTGATCTTATAGCGTGCGCGCCCGGGCTAGTCAGCATACAAATATTGTTGAACATTGGTTTTAAATAACGCCGCCTTTTTCTTTGACTGACATGCCTTTAAATTGCGATTGATGAGCTCGTGCGTTTAGGCGGTTGTGTTGTGTTGTGTATAGTTGTGATGTGCTTGTCCTTGAATTGTGTATACGCGCCTGGAGAAGGTTATCTGACTCAACGGTTTTATGTGCTTGGCACTGCGGTAGAGACTCGTGCTCACGGAGGACTGCGGAACAACATGCCGAAGGGCCCGTCATTCATTCATTTATTCATTCATTCATTCATTCATCACACCGTCTATTAAGGATTAAAATGAAAGGCAAGCGCCTCGTTTTGTCTCGGCTTTTGTCTGAGGTCACTATAAAATAACACCGGCTGTCCTTAGACGAATATATAGCCTATATATTCCACTTATTATTTTCAAGACCATAGGCCTTTAAATAAAATAAAATGTAAATGAATAATGTGTATTTTTACTTCTTAAAAAGCTTTAAAATAATGAAATCAAACATTATTTTATTGAAGATATAATTCCCTGAATCTCTGAAAACGTATCTCTGAAAAGAAACAAAGGCGATTACTCTTACTACACGCTTCATTTATATCAGGCCTGGACATTTAAACGTCATTAATTAATCTTAATATTTTAGACAATCTTTTTTGGGTGGTTTCAAACACCTGCTCGTGTTAAAATGAGCAGTTTTGTTATTGTTTTCACGCGGATTATCTACGTGAAGATGGTGGTTCTGAGCGCGTGCCATCGCTGTCTTCTTTTCGACAAGACACGCCCAAAACGCTTTCCCTCAAGGCCTTTGTATTCCCCTCATATCGCTTATTTACACTCTCGTTGTCCACAAAATGTCTACTCGCGAAGAAATAGATGACATTTATCCATTTGCATACGTGGCATTTAGCCTTTTCCTCTCTCGCGATCTCTCACGAAGCATAATCGCAAGGATTTTTATTCTGCCTGCTTCAATTCAAACCAATGGATGCACAATATCTCCCCTCCCCCTCTGAGTGACTCGACCCTTTTCTTTGCCTTTCCTCTCGATGGGCTCTCAGCCTCCGAGGCATCGTGTTTTGTCTCTGAGTTTCAGTCTGGAGCATCCTTTTTTGAGCCAGGCACGCATGTGCCCTTTTACGCCCCTCTGCCTCCGCCGCACCTCCGCTATTTGAGAGGAATTCCTCAGCGCTCTTTGTTAATAACGGCTAATTATCGCTAATTAACGGATGTAGTAATAAATGTATGTTGCGTATTACGGTTTATGACGAATGGTTCGCACGGCAGGAGAAAGCAATGTTTTGATTTTCCTCCGAAAATGAAGCCAGCTCGGGTGTAGCGATGCTCTCGCGCATGCCTGTATCATATGACTTATACACTGGGCTAATCGTTAATCTTGTTTACTGAATCCGCGATTAGACGTGCCAGTATGCGTTTTGACCACATTTCTAAATTAGCTTGGATTTAGCCAGCCTGTATTTTCACATGTAATATTTGCTGCCTCTATTTGAATGTTTTTCACGCACTGTAATTGATGCTGAGAGGCTGCTCGAATCGATTTTAGTGTTTCATATTGGTCAGAGCAAAAGAAAGAAAGGTTATACGTACAGTAACCATTCTTGACGTACAAAGATGATAGTGATCTAGGTCCTTCGATTTGCAGGTCTTCAGGCTGGATTGCAGATATTATTACGCCGTGGCTTGGAATGGAGAAATGCAAATGTCAGTTTCCAAAGGAAAAGAAAAAAAAAGAAAAAGGAAAAAGGACAGTCTTCGCCAGGAAATCTCAGCCCGTGCGATTGTAGGTTTTCCTCAGCAGTGTGAAAATGAGGATAAGGGGGTTTTCTTCAGGATGATGATGAGAGAGAGATTTCTCTCCGTGTGGCGTGGGCGATGGTTCAGAAAAAAAGAAAAGCAGTGATCCCCAGTAGGGTGTGTCCAGGGGAGGGTGTTGTGGTTCTGCTGTTGTGTGTGTATTTCCCAGCTCCTCGCAGGCTCCTTCTGTGCCTCTGCTGCAATGTTCTTCTTTTATGTGTCCTTCTGGCTGGCAGAGCTTGCTGCTGATTGGCTAATTGTGCAGGGAGGGTACTACATGGCAGCCATTGCAAAGCGCTGCTCTCCCATTATCCCCTTCAGGAGAGATCACCGAGAACCCCCCATCCCTCCAGCCCCCACCATCTCTCCACTCTTCCTTTTGCCCTCCCTTTCTTCCTGCCCCCCCCAAACACACATGCAGAGCTGAGTGAATAGAGCTCCACCTGCACTCCGAACAGATGGGTGCAGAAAAAGACAGGAGCCATGCTTTCTCCTTGCCCCTCGTTCTCTCTCTCCCTCATCCCCTTACTTAAATTTTGTCCTTTCTTGATTTCACATTATTTGTCTTTGTAGATCATTTCTAAGAATGCAGTCCACGATTAAGTCCTCCATTTGTGTGGATGCAGAGCGGCTGTAACTGTGTGAAGGTCATCTCTGGACAAAACAACCTCGACATAACCGTTTCTATATTACCATGTGTTGAATGTGCGCATTACATAATCGACAAAGGCCAACGCTTTAAAATGACAACTATCTGCTCAGCTATTACACGAGGTGTGGTTATCAAGCCGGTTCGATGATACTTGACTGGTAAGATGTGAACATGAATGCACCCATCTCCTTATTGTTCCCGGTTGGTGCTGATATTAAACATCGACACAGTGATTGCAGCGGTTGTTATCTCAAGCTCCCTTCCCCCATTTCTAGTCTCAGGGAGTGGGTAGAGCTCACCGAGACAGGCTGTTTGGTCTCATCTATAATGCATCTCCTGCCCCAGGACTTGATGTGTGACAAATGACCTATTTCTGCACAGACCCCCACAGGGCCTTGACCTGAGGGAGCGCGCTCTGTATATCTTTGTTGTGCGGATGTTGGTAGGTGCGAGTCTCCATAAGTTGGAAGAGATGCATGTAGGCTTATGGAAATGCATGAGGCGTGAGGGGGTTGTTGTTCCCAGCGGAGGATGTGTTTATTTCAGTCTGTTTATGGAGACCTCACCTACATCTGCACCGGCCTTGGGTGACCTTGTGGAAACGGTTGTGTGGCGCTCGTCTTCAACACAACTTCTCTTGATTATGCAGATTGTAGACAGTCACCGCGCAGGTATCAGGCATCAGGAGTCAGCGAGGTACCGAGTGGGTGGTATTGTCGTTGGCGGGCAAATGTGCTGTAATGCAGATCAGAAAAACAGCATTTTCTCGTGTCTGTGCATAATACACACAATTATATATATTTTGCTTGAGGAGTTCTTGGGAAACCATCAGAGATGGGCGAGTGGGCAGAGGCGTTCAAACTCGTTAACCTTTGGGTAATCCGGAGAGCTCCAATGGTTGCGCATTTCTGGCCAAGTGTTCTCTGGTAATCTTGACACATCCTGCCCCTCTGTCCTCTCCTCCCTTTAGTGGTCACTTTCACTTTCAGTTCTTGCTCTCGGTTCTCGTCCCGCGTCTCTACCCCAGTCAGATTCTGAGTGTGGGCCCTGTCTGATATTTTACATAATTGCCTTACATAAGTGGCCAGCTCAGCTCAGAGCTTGGATGATATTAGTGGCGATGAATATTGCATGAGGAAGGCACTCGTTAAGCGTTAATAAGAGGATGGAGATGGGTCCCGCTGTCAGTCTGTCTTAACCCCGCCCACTCTGCTCTGTCAACTCGCCACGTTTCTTAGACCCAGCCGAGGGCGCCATTATAGGTGCGGGTGTTGTTTTCTGCTTTGTGAGCCGAATAAAGGCAGCACTTGTGGCACAAAGAACCCAGGTCTGTTAGCTGCCCACAGTTCCGCACGCACCCCGTTCACACTTAACATGAATAAACTTAATTGCAGAGGCTCATTAGGGGGTCTCCGCTGGTAGCGGGGCAGCTGAATCCAGCCCGTGGGTAAGAGGGCATCTGAAGCACCTATTCACCGCCCCGACGCAGAGGATCAAGCATGCCAGTTGCTTGAAGCTCTTTCGGTAATTTCGCTGATAATTTTTAATGTTCAGGAGCCCCTCCAGAAGAGCCCATTAAGAGACTGTCACTTTTGTCCCCAGTGGCATTACAGCGTAAGAGTCTCTCTTGTGCTCTTTCAATGATCATTGATTTTAGACACTTTTTATGGCCTTCCAAACGCTGTGGGGATGACTGGTGGATGAAACTAAGCAATATACTCTTGTTTTTTTATCCAATATCTCAAAAGTGTCTGTTTTACATGTGCAAATTGTAAATTTACATTTATGAGTGGAAAGCATGTTATGATCACGCTGAATCTGCTTAGCACCGGCGCAGGAGATATGATTGTGTGAAACAGATGTGTTCCATTGCTACAGCTAGTGTTATCCCTTCTTATTATGGTCTGAGGTAACGGATTAGGATGGCTCAAATGACTGCGCTAAAGACGATTTTTTCCAGGATTTGTATTTTCAATTGGCAGTGTTTTAAAATGGCTTAATTTGGATAAAGCTTGTAATGTTATTTCATACATCAAAATGTGCTCAGTAGGATGTATACAACTAAATATGTTTACTCGTAAACATCACTCTATACATCATCACTTGCAGTCAGTATATGGTTTTAGAGTTCATAACATAAATGAGTACACCAGCTTTTTAAAAATTGATATTTTTATAAATTTCACTATACATATGGTTCTTTGAAACAAAAAAGTTTTAATAAACAGTTTTATTTATTAAAATAAGATTTTGGTCACCCAAGGTCTTTAGGAATAGAAAGATAATGCATTTAAATTCAAATTAGTGAATTCAAAATGGACCCTTTTGACAAGTCTGTTATGATACGTTTAACGGTCATCAGCATCTTAAATCCTTGGAGGTTTTTAATGCTTAAATTTAAAAAAAAAACTTATGAACATTTATATGTATTTACATATGCATTATATCATCTTTGCTTCACATTACAAAAAGTGAATTACCACCCTTGTGCGAGTCGTTTCTAATACAGCGTCTATGGGATAGGACAGTAAATTTGACGTTGTTCTCTCCTCTGGCTGCCGTCATCAGTCTTGCACAATTTTTTTTTCCTTTTTCTGAAAGTCTTTATGACATCATCATTGAGTTTATCCTTTATTATTTGAGCAAATAAGGTTGTAAAAAAATTATTTGTTGTTTTCTCCCATTCACTGCACTCATAGTTTTCCCAACTATGACGACTTCCGCTAGAAACCCGGACATGTGAAAAGGGTCTATAAGGTGGCATGGCACCTCAGTGGTTAGCACTATTGTATCAAAGCAAGAAGGTCACTTGTTCGAGTCCTGGCTGGACCAGGAGGCATTTCTGTGTGGAGTTTGCATGTTCACCCAGTGTTCCCGTGGGTTTCCTCCGGGTGCTCCGTTTCCTCCTACAGTCCAAAGACATGTGCTATAGGTGAATTTGATTAAATAAATTGTCCGTAGTATATGAGTGTGTGTGAATGAGTGTTAATGGGTTTTTCCCAGTACAGTGTTGTGGCTGGCAGGGCATTTACTACATAAAACATATGCTGGAATAGTTTGCGGTTCATTCCATTGTAGCAACTTCTGAAATAGAGAAAAATGTACAACAAAATACAACATTTCAACTAAGTATTTTTCCCTAACACATTCATTTAGGTGTTTTAACTTTTGCACCATGATCTAATCATGATCTTTGCATGAAGCTAGTATGTAATGTATATTAGGGCTGCACAATATTGGAAAAATATGATATTGCGATATATTTTTTCTTCTTCGATTAAATATTGCAGTATGAATATAATTTCACCATTAGATTTGTACAGCCATTTGGAAAGATTGCATTTATTTAGATAGATTAGGATCAAATCTTAAATTACAAGCTTATGTAAACACAACAGAGCAAAGATAAAAGTGAAATAAACAGTGCTTGATGGTTTCTAACAGGAGTTCAACGGCATTCAGGTACAGAAATTTAACAAACTAAAAATTACATCGAAAATAATTAATTTAACAATGTTTTTATTTTTTTATTTTTAATACATAATCTAATCCTGTGATGTGACTATTTAGGGCACACACATTGCGATATCGATGCTCAAACGATATTTTGTGCAGTCCTAATGTATATATTATTGTATAGAGTCATATTGAGAAAATTAGTTTAAAAGAGAGTTTATGAGGTGTGTACTTGTAACCCACCAGTCCTACTCCACCAAACCCAGTGCGAGCTGAAAGCACCTTTAGAAGAGGAGTGAGGTTTACCTGCATAGCACTTCACTAGCTGGCCTCCCTTACACTCACCCTCTTAAAACTTACTCCCATCCTGGACGAGCCCCTACGTGTAACTCATCTGTTCTACTGCACCCAACCCGTGCTGAGCTGGGATCTAACTGGCAACTCGTTATATGGGAGTCAGTTGCTCTAACAAGGAAGCTAAAGACCATGACCTCTAGGGATTTTAGGTAGAGCACCTTTAGAGGTCAGAGAGGTGAGATTTACCTGCACAGCACTTTACTAGCTGGCTTTCATTACACTCACCCCCTAAACCTTACTCCCATCCCGGACGAGCCCCCACATGTGACTTACCGGTCCTACTGCACCCAACCCATGCTGAGCTTGGATTGAACTAGCAATTCTTTGTATGGCAGTCAGTTGCTCTAACCAAGAGGCTAAAAGACCATGGTCTCTAGCATTTGCCGTTAGAGCTTTAGAGGTCAGAGGAGTGAGATTTACCTGCATAGCACTTTACTAACTAGCCTCCGTTACATACTCATTTATGCTGGCCACTATATATTAAGTGCAGTAATGGTTTTAATTTAATTTATGTTACATTATTGGATTTTATGGTACTAAACTACATTTATGTGGTAGTTAACCATTTATTTATTGTGCAATGCAATAATGTATGATTATATGCTAACTACTTTTTAAATGTTAAATCTTTCATATTAAAGATATTCTCAGTGGCTCTGGTGTATTTCTCACAACACTATTTACAATTTCATGAATTATTTACAGACCTCTGTATGTTGTAGGTTCAGTTCCAATATG